TGTCTATGTCTATATCTATATCTATATCTATATCTATATCTATATCTATATCTATCTCTCTCTCTCTCTCTCTCTATATATATATATATATTACTGGCCTTTTTAAGGACAGGGGTCGGGCTGAAGCGAAGTACTCTACACCTCCCGTTGAGGTGTGCAGCGAGGACCTGAGAAGCTCGGCCCTGCCAGCAGATCACCGGTTGCTTGAGAAGGATGCGGAGGACTGCTACGGTTGATGATTTAAATCCTGCATTACCCATAGTAAGGAATCTACCATAATTCCCATAGTTTAGGGTCCTTAAAGTAATGCAGGGTTTATATCATCAACAGTAGGGCCTGTGATTGCCGAACCCGAGCCCAGCTGAGAGGAAGCTCTTCATTTTTTTATGACTCTCCTCATTCAGATCCTTCGAATTCTGATGATGATCATGGTCATCAAGTCTGGTTGTCATCATCACCATGCTGTATCACCAGGAGCAAGAAGTATCTCGCAGCCAAGCGCAGAGAGAGCCTTGACTGAAGCTCTGGATCTGCTGACGCAAAAGGGCTTGTGACTGTAACTGCCATTTCGCCAGGACGACGACGATAATATGATGCAGCATATCCCAGACGGAGGTGTGCTTTGTTTAGCCGCTGCGCTGAAGAGACACTTGCGAGGCACAAGCAAGTCAAGAGCAAGTCAAGAGGAAAAGCCCACATTTCCGAGGTCTCCAAAATACCCTTTTTTGACTTCAGCTTTACTTTGCTCGAGATCTTCCGGCAGAATCTTCAGCAGGCGGACGTGTTGCTACTTGCAGACCTGCAGAGTGCTATCTCATGTTGTTCTAGTGTTCTAGCTGCTGTTTAGGCAGTGCTGTCCGGGAATGCGAGGCTCCCGCCATCCTTGAACGCCTGAATCGGGCCGGGATGGAGCGTTTGGCCCTGCGCGGAGTCGATGCCGCACCGCCAGATCGTTCCCGAACATTCCCGAAAGACGTAGCTGGCAAGAACTCGCGCTTCTGATTAGGTTTCGGACCTCCTGCAGACTCCGCGCGTCCTTTGCCTATCCAAGATGTCCCAGCAGATGCCACCGAAGACTCCTGGCTGCATCTGGAAAGTGTGTTCTTGGTCACATTCGCCGACTCTGGAGCCATCTCTGCCGAGGTTGTTGTCTCCAGGCTGTCAGTGGTCTCACTTCAAAAACTTGAGCAATGCAGAGACGTGCAGCCCTCTGGCCCGTACCTTCGGAAGGCAGAGCGCAGCCAGAAGAAGTGAAGAAGTAGAGTCTGGGATGTAAGGGCCGCGACAGGTGGACAGTTTGGTGGGGCCTCTTCACGCTGCTCACACGCTGGGGTGAGAAGCTCCTGGAGGTGAGGAGGGGTCGCGGTTTAGGGGGCCCCCCGTTTTGGTGAAATGGGCTGAGGTGGTCTTGAAACTGCTGCCCTGCGTGCTTCTCGAGCAGCAGGCCCATCCTCGTCATTAGGGGTCTCCCGTGGGAAGGTGTGTGTGTGTGCCCCGCAAAGACTCTCGGATACGCGGGACCGGGACTGCAACCAGCAGGGCTCTCAACTCATAAGAATGCCCAAGCTTGGTGCTTGGCTGGCTTTAGGTCTTCTTGAGTGCCGCACCCCCCGCTTCCACCTGTTCCTTGCCCAGTGTGACTGACAACTTACCGACTTCGCTGTCATTTCCAAACCCTTCTGCGCGTTTCGAGATTCACGTGCCACAGCCCAGACCTGCTTTTGCAGGTGTTGCTGGTCGGTGATGCGCAGCGAGCTTGTGTGGTGGCGCTGCTTCTGCGTGGTTTGCAGCGGCCTCGCTTTTGCTGGAAACGAAACGACTGGGCAGACCCTTTTCAGGTGGAAACATTCGCAAGCTCTGTTCTCTCAGGCTGTGGCCCTTTCGCTGGCAGCACCCCTTCGTTTGTGCACCACTTCCGCCGGAAGCACTCCGAGAGCTGCCACTTCTGGCCGGGTCCTCAAAAGGCGCCCCAAATCGAGGCTTTCTGTGCCGTTTTGACTTCCGGGTGTCAGGAAGCCACCATGCCGATGATCATGGCCTTCGGGGAGATGCCAATGCTGAGCCACTTCTGGGGCACTGGCCTCTAGCACATGTTTGCTCGAGGCCGAATGCCGCTGAGAAGGGTATTTCTGAAGTGTCAGGCTACGACACGGTGTACCGGCTACCCCCAAGCATCGTCGCGGGCGTTCTCCGCAACGAATGGGCTGGAACCTGAGACTGCCTGAGACCTTAAGCCGACGACCATCCGACCATCGAGTTTTGCCTGGCCTCCATCCGGCGCTAACCCCCAAGAAGGTATACATCAGCGACAAGCTGGAGACCGTTGGTGGTTTATCAGGACTTGCGGCTCAAAATCCTGCGTCGTGTCTCGAGCAAGAAAAGCCAATCAAGCGGTTGCTGTGCAGGCAGCAGCATCAAACTTCCAAGCTTTGTGCAGACGGCACTGCGGAATGAAATAAAGGAGGCCACTGAAGCTGTGAGTTTCTCTCTCCACGCCTCCTTTCATGTCCAGCATGGGTCTGGCAGTGTACTTTGGCAGGCCAGACGCAGCTTCCGCCAGTCTTCGCAGAAGCTCCAGGCATTGCAGGAGATTGTTCCGAAGGCTGCCTGACAAATCTGGAAAATCTTCGGAGCCGAGCTTCGTTGGTTTCGAATCGTGAGGTTCACGAGGCAGTAGAGGTGGCCATGCAAAAGCTGGCTGATTTGGTGAAGAGCTATGCCAAGAGTGGCTGGGTGAAATCTGGGTTTTCATGCCAAGCCTCAGCAAGAGCACAGTTCCAGCACCGGACATCATTCGTGCCGAAGCTTCGTGACTTGGTCTAAAACAAGTTCTACCTGCCCAGGTCAAGTGGAAGAGCTGCAGAACAAGGTCGAGAAGCTCAGCTGTTGCATGCGTGCTTGCAGTGATTTTCGCCCTGAGCTACTGGAGCTTCTCGACATGTAAGGTGGGCTCATCCAAGGAGGAGCTTTGCGAGAAATGTTACCAGAGGGCACTCAAGGTCGAAAGGCTGGGTGCTGGCTGGCAGTCCGAGGAATGATGTAAGTTCTTTTCCCAGATGTGCTTGAGTCGGTCAGTCAGTGGCGGAGGAGTGTGTGAGTGTGTCCTAGCCTCTGCAGGTTTGTGCAGTGGCTGTGGGCCAATGAAGATGCTTACGGATGCCCGGAGCCCGTCAGCCCCTCAGCAGATGGCTGCAGCATCCTGAGTTGGAGTGAGAGTTGTGTTTTTCGTCGACGTCGCTGTCACCGTCGTCACCGTCGTCGTCGTCGTCGTCGTCGTCGTGGTCCGAAGCCATTATCCCGAAATGATCAAGTAACAAATGCCGATGACGAAATCCAAATTCAGGCTTGGCATTGGTCGTTTGAAATTGCGAATGTCGCTTGCCCTATCCATGTCGAAATTGGTCCCGAAAGCAGGCCCTGTGGCGACGACGTCCTTGCAACATTTTAAATATCCACCAGCCTGTCTTCCAAACTCCAATCTGACGCGGCTTGCGCGCAGGTGGGGTTCTACACGACCTTCTTGCAGACTCAGTGCTTCATGAGTTTGCTGTTCGAGGATCTTGGGACAGAACATGAACCCGGGTTTCTTTCAGCCCTGTCGAGAGGTAGCTGAATGCTCCCCATTGCTTTCCTGTAGCTCCCATGCAGCTTCCCGTGCCTGCAAGAAGACGATGCCCGTGTCATTCTCGCAAAAGTGGCGGGGCCGGGACGACACTCCACCCAGTGAAGCGGTCTGAAGTGTAGGAAATCTCAGCCGAAGTTGGCTCCGGAGGAGGGGAAGGCAGTCTTTCCAGTTGCTTTTAGGCGTGGCATTGCTGTGCTTGGCAGCAGGCCGTTGAGACAGAGCAGGCCATCAGCGACGAGGGGAAACGAACAGGTGGACATCATTGAGATGGCCTAGCCTTTTTTGCTGCACTTTCTATGTTCTGCTTACTTCAAAAGAAGAAGCCACACTGTTCTAGACAGGGGCTGCAATGATATCTTCACCATGAGTCTTGTATCCACGAAGTGCATGTTCGCAGGGCAAATGGTACCGTAACCCCCCCTGACTAGCATTTATTTTTTTAATTCGTTTTGGGGGCATGGCATCGGCATTAGCACCGACTGCTATTTTGGTTATCCCTCACATGAGGGCGACCCACAGCAGCCATGACCACCAACTTGGCATGCACGTGTCCAGGTAATTCATGCCGACTCGTGACAGGAGCAGCATCGTTTCCAGGGTACTGTTTGGAGAGACAATGGCGGCATCAACCAACACAGACTGTCCTTTGATCGCTGTGGCCAGAAGGCAGAATGCTGCTCCGAGTTTTCATGCTTCCTCCGGGCAGGCTGCCTTGAGCCTGCTGGGGTCAATTGCTCGACCTCTAGGAGAGAATCATAGCAGATGTCAGAGCGCATCTTCAAGAGCTTGCAGGAGCTCACAAGGCTTGTCTGCAATTACTGTAATGGGTTCTGCAAGCATTTCGTTTGATGGTTACTACTCCTGTTCACACTGCAGCTTTTGCAGCTTTTGCTTTGCGTGTTTTGTGGCTCGCCAGCCGATTTTATAGGCATCGTCGCTCCAGTAGACAAATAACAACAATAGGACTAGTAGCAATAGCTCCATTAGACATGGCGGCCTTTAGCCGCAAGCGGCCTGCAGCTCGCCACGCAGGCCAGCGCACGAATGACCAAAGCTGCGAAAGTTGACAATGAGGTGTCTCGTGTGCTCTGTTCCGCAGGGAGTGGAAAACAGACGAAAAAATCGGCGAATGGTCCCACTGCTAGCAAGAAGGCGAACCGGCTGTCACGCTCAAAGTTGAGTCGGAGATCATGCCTGGGGATCGATGTAACAGTGCTGGCTCAGGCAATCTTCGTTTGCGCGACTGGTGCGGGTGGAGGGCGCTCGCGGCAGACACTTGTCTGCAAACGTAAACCTTGTAGCCACCGATGTTGCTTTTGTTTTGGTTCTGCTGAAATATGCTGAGAAAGCCCAGCGGTCTTCGATTGCACAGAGGATGCTGCTTCGACAGTTTGGCTGCTTATCAGAATTGGACGGTTTCATGCTTTCCAGCATTTAGCCATGCACTGTATGTTGAAGCCTTGGTGCCATGTGACAGTTCGTACCTCGCAGGCGACCTCCATCAGATGTCATTTCGTGGCACGCCGAATCTAACCACTGCGGCCAAGAAGAATTAGCCTGATTGACTTTCGCATGGCCATTGACACCGGTCAGGCACGGTTTGACGGGAAACAACAAGCCCATCAGAAGGCCAGTATCGTAAAGCCTTTCAATCGAAGCTCGTTCCCCTTCCTGCGCGCCGTCGCCCGTAGAGCTGGCGAACATGGTAGCAGCTTTTTGCAAGCTGCTGGAGGCACTCGCACATGTTGCACGGCACCGCTAAGGCAGAGCGGGAGGCGCCTTTCCTGCAGCAGATGGCAGAAGCTGCGCAGGCAGCTGCCAAGAAGTCGCCCTCCAGGCCGCTGCCCGGGCCCCGGGCCAGCGACTCCCTTTGTGCCCTGGGCCAAGGCCGCTGTGGCTCGTTGGCCACTCGTTTGGCGCACGGGCAGCTGTGCACCTCATGTGCCGCAAGGACCTGAACTGACCGATCTTCTGTTGTGTCCTAGGCCCTAGGTAGTCCCTGCGAAGTTCGTCCCCATATCCCGCACATTGTGTGTGTGTGTGTGTTTAATTCGGCCAAGCAGATGCACTGACATGCAACAATGTCCAGCCTGGCTTCTTGAGCAGCTCGATTGCAACACCGTCGGCTTGTTCTGAGGATTTTCGCCAGCAGCTGCCAAAGAGCTGTAAAGGTATCATTGCGCTTCTTGGATGTCTATACACACAAGCATAGCTTTGAAGGGGGAGCTGGCATACCATGGCATTAAGAGAAATTTCTGATTGGTTGTTCCCTGTCGCACTGCTTGACATCTGACCTGCGCAGGTTCGGATATCCGTTGATTCATCCGACGCAGCAGCGCAGCCGTGATGCATTTTGAATATCCTCACGAGCGCTCCATGACTCATTAGCGAGACGCTGTGTAACAGGGGCGGGTCAAGACATGGTGGTGGCGACCACGTCGTGACGCCAACAGAAATGCAACAACATGCGTCACAGAGCAAGGTGAGAAGAAGCTGATGGAACTCCCTGCGAGTTCCAAGGTGGGCAAGAGCTACGGTTCAGCATCAGAAGTTTAACGAAGAGCTGCGATCAGCGATGGCTGGAGTGGCTGGAGGTGTTGTTTATCTCCGGCACCAAAGATCCCTTTGCTGGCAACTTCAAGCTTTTCGCGACAGCGCTTCAAAAGGCAAAGTGTAAACACCGCTTGGCCACTCGGCGAGTTTGGAGTGGTCAAAAAAGGCTCATGGTGAAGTTCCTGTAGCATTATATATCAGTGACAAAATTCTGACTGGAAGGCTTTCTAGGTGTCTGGCCAATAAGGTCAAAGTGCTCGGAGGTGATCATGGACTGAAGTGTTCAAAAGCCATGGAGGAAGAGACAGTCTCCACGATTTGTGAGGCCGTGTCCCGCTTCGTTTAGAGGTAAGTTTAGCAACGGATGAGCCGGCCGGGGTGCATATCCAGCTGCATGTACTGCGCGGACGGTGCGATCCCGGGTGGCCGATCATCCCTACGGGGTGGCATCTTGAGTCCAAAAAGTCTCCTGGGTTTCAACGCTCTTCCAAACAAGCTTGTGCTCTTTTGCAGACCCAGCAACCTGGGGGTTCATATAGAAGCATGCCCGCATGTCCAGCGCCGTCGCCAGGCCCGAGAATACATATTAGATGATTTATTGGACCTAATCAGGTCCCATTCCCAGTGCCACGCCCACTAGCCTGCGAAGCTGTCACGGCACGCGCAACACATGGCAAGAGTGACCGAGAAATCTTGTACTTCAAGCTCTGCATAGCCAAGAACGAGTCCGGGTGTGAGAGCGTAAACCCCTACAGACCGGTCGGAAACCCTATGAGCTCTCCTTTTAGAGCCCTTAACAAGGTTCCTTTTCCTGAAGCTCACACATGTCGGGAGCATTCCGCTGAGCTGGAAAGATTGGCTTCTCTGGCGAAGCATGCTCGGAAACCGAAGCCGCTTGGACAGCTGAGGTTTCTAACGTTTGTGGAGGTTTATACCTGAAAGGGTTTAGGCTTAGGTATAGGCTGAAGGGTTTAGGGGCAAAAAGGCTGTGGGGTGTGGGGGTTGGGGACGTAGGAAATGGTGCTAGGCTGCGAGAGACTACAGACCTTAATGGTGCGAGTCTGTGAGTCGAATGCAGTTAGTTGGAGTGCAGAGAAACCGTCAAACCGTTTCCTAAAAGCCTATCATTCATTCGTAGCCCTGCGTGTTGCTTGTATATGCCCTTGAACTTTTCCTTACTGCTTTGGGGTCGAACTTTGGATGCCGGTTAACTGGGTGTTGTCTCCCTGCTGTGCCACGCAAAGGGGTCTACTGACCTTGGACTCACCTGGTATGCCGAGCTGGGAGCGTCCAACAACGCATGCATTATGGTAGGGTAAATCCCTTCACTTCGGGAGGCCGAATCACGCCAGATTACCGGCAGGGACTTTGGCGACTTCGAGCTTGAAGAGAAATCCGTAGCGGGGGCCAGGATTCCACCAAAGCATTCCCAACATAGGGGGCGAAGGTGATTCATCAAAGAACGAATTCGGTGCGCCGGGGGGGGGGGGGGCTGCGGGAAGTTGTGCGATTGGCTCTAGGCAATCACCCGCACCACTGTGCAAACAGCGATCTTCTTTCTCTACTACCGTGAGCGTAAGAACCCAAGAGTCCTGCTGCATTGTTTGAGGAGAAACTCCTCCGCCAAACTCGGAACTCCTTCAATTCAATCTGGGCCTCAATGCATGCCTCGACGGTGACCTGCCTCGGACGCATTTTCCCCACCCGGTCCGTCTAGCTGCGAGAGTCGAAACTCCATTCGTACACTCTGAGCATCTCTAAGCCCTCTCAGCCCTAAAAAAGCCCGAAGCCCGCAATCCGTAAAACCTCACGCCCGAAGCCTGCCGAAGCTCTAAAGCATCCTAAAGCCTTGCCCACCGGAGAACTCTGCTTGAGGATGTGCCGGTGTGATGCTCGTGAGCCTCGGCTATGGAATGCTATGGAGGAATCAGGCACTGAATGGACTGAAAAGAGCTGATAAGTTACATTTAAGAAAAGACAAAGTTACAAGTAAGTGCTCTACCCTTCGGACTCCTTGGGTCTGCAGAATGTAACCTCTTTCGATGCACCTGATGCAGCCTTTATGACGCCACACAAGTGCCGCACATCAGCACGACAAATGCATGGTCCCACTGTGGCTCGGGGCCATGCATTGGGGGATGTAGCTGTGTATTGGAACGAACATCCTAGCCTGGGATGGGCATGGCTATGTCTGCACCCAAGTGGGCATCAGTGCTTTTTCCAGCGAGGACGGTACTGACCTGGAGGATGTCCTGGGCACAGTTGCCTCTGGGCGCGGGAGGCCGATGCCGGCGACAAAAAAGTGAGAAGTCTTTTTGACCCTCCATTGGCACCGCGTGTCAGGTCTCCAGAGCTCGGGCGGGGGCGGATTAGGTCTCGGCTTTGGCACAGGTTTGCCGGCTAGCACTGGCTTGGGGCCAAGCGCGCCCACAGGCAGCAACTTGAATGGTGGGCTTGGCGGTTGTCTGGGTGGCGGTTGCCTAGGAGGGAGTGGCATCGGTGGGGGTGCCTTTGGTGGTGGCTCGGGCGGCTTGGGTGGTGGCGGCGGCGGCTTCGGCTTAGGCAGTGGCTCAGGCTCGGGCGGCTTCGGTGGTGGCTTGGGTGCGGGTGGTTTGGGTGGTGGTTTAGCAGGTAGCATGGGTGGCTTAGGAGCCCCGCCTCTGCCTCTGAGCGGAGGAGGCGCCCTAGGTGGTGGTTTGGGACTTGGAGCAAGCGCTGGATTCGGTGGATCTCCGGCTACAAGCTTCGGAGGCGACATTAGCAATGCTCTTGTGCGTTACCGTCCATCAATGTTCTTGCATGCTAGGCCTCGGAAACCAGCCGGGCAGCACTGCAAATGCTGTTCCTGGCTTTGGCGCTCTTGCAGGGATGGGAGGAGATAGTCCGTTGGCAGGCACCTGCGCAACATAAATGAGTCCGGCAGTTCTTGCCGAAATGCTGGTTTGGCATAATATGCTGTTCTGCTGAAGGTGGCGCATCTTCTCCCTCGCCAATGTTTTCCAAGCTTCCTAGCGACCCGAGCACATTGCACCAAGCCTTTCACTATGCAGACATTGCAGCCACTCGCCCTGGAAAACAGGATCTTATCTTGACCTGTTGAACATGTGCGAGACTGAGACTCAGATGTATGACAACTCGAGGCATTCCTGTTGCAGCCCCCCGCGCCGCACTCCATTCAAGACTGCCGCGAGCTTTGCCAGCGAAACGAGAGCTGTGCGGCCTGGGAGGCTCCTTGAAGCGACTCCGATACATGCAAAGCCAAAAGTCCAAAAGTGTCGCAAAAACTTAACGAGCCTCGCACTCGATGGCTCAGTCCCGATAATTGTGGGAAAGCTTGCGGAGAGGTCTGCGCTCCGTTGGGTGATGGTTGTGATGGTTGCTGCTTGGCGTGACTGGCAGGATCAGCCGGATTACTTTATGGATTTGCATCAAGCCACCGAGCCTGTGCGGAGATCTACATACGCGATGTGTGCAACGGACACGAGCTCTGTCCGCCTTCTTTCTTAGAGAAAATGGCATGTTTGTTTTTGCGGATGCCCTGCACACAACTGTTGCACGCACTTTGGCGTCATGCGTGAACGATTGGCACCTGGAGCATCATTTGAGATGATAGGGTTGGCGATTTCGAGGAACCAGCACAGTCTGGAAAGCAGAGTTTGAGACTGAGGGAGCAACAGAATCATAAGCAACGCCGCAACACAGACAACCGGTCAGCCCTTCCATCGATGCATGGAAGTTTCGTTTTCCGAGCTGTAGCTTTGATGAGGCTACCTCGTGTCCCGGGCTCCTCGGCGCTGGGATCAGCGCCAGGGTTGGCACGCAGAGATTCTGCCAGGCAGAGTCATGACTCGGCGATTGTCGCGCGATGTTCGCTGAACGTCATGAAACTTTGCATTATAAACTTGTAAGAGCGCAGGCAGGGAGGAGCTTGGATGGAATGCTGAAAGCGAGTTCAGTCCAGCAGCTGGGCGAAAGATTATGTTGTTGCCTTCAAGGCTGTGCTGCTCTACTACAGTTGCTTGACGTAGATGATCGTAGATGCTGGCCATGTGCTCGTATGTAAGTGAAATGTGGGAGGCAAATCTGACGCAGGAAGGCTGCAAGGCTTTTCTGCTACAAGCAAACGGACCTGAGCCAGCAATTTAGCTGCTTTTTTTCGTGCTGATGGGCGTGAAGTTGCAGTTATGTTAGATCCAACGTCTGAGGAGCAGACCAAAGCGTCCCGTTCCACGAGCCAGCGATCATGCAAAAGTATGCGGCGTGCTCTGGCAATGACAATGCACGCAAGCTACAGACACGTGTAGCTCATGCATAGCCTCTCCGTGAGGTGCGGATCCCTGATCTGGGAAGGGGAGCAGGACCGGGACCTCACCGTCGTGGGGCAGCATTGGCCGACGTTCGTTGTCACCCACTTCCGGGAACCCCCGATCTTGCTGCCCCAGGCAGGCTGCGACAAGCACGCCGCATCCGAAACATCTGCTATGTTTTATTGGGGTGGATGCAGGGTGTGCTGGAAGCATTTGCACAGGATGTGGAGCGGGAGATGCTAGCTTCCGCACCCCGCGCGCCTCGTACTCCATCGCCACTTGCTGCTGCGGCTTTAGCTGCCGCTGAGCGGCCAGGCGAACACTACGCGTGGGAGAACGGATTTGCTTCCGGACAGGTACCTGCTACTGGTAGCATCTGAATGCAACTTTAACATCAGCCAAACATCAACCAATGGTCAGCCAAATGGACTTGGATGCAACTGCTGCGAGGCGTGACATCGCAGCTCCATGGTACAATTGGCTCGCAAAACTGGGAGGACCGGAAGAACAAGGCCTGTGAAGCCACTGCGGGCGTCAGAAACCTAGCGCAATCTGCTCCTGTTAGATTAGATGTAGATGCTGTGCAATCGGAAACCTCGCACCGATACAGAAGAAGCACGCGTGGCTTTCAGTATCTATGCATGGCATCGCTAAAGTTGCTAAGCTGCTGCACCGGCAAGGAGTCGTAGACGAACGCTAGCGAATCTTGGCATCGCAGGCTCGTGCTCCGCATGCCTTCCTCCTGCCTTTCTATGACACCAACATTGGGCACTGGATGAAGCAGCACGGTTCCATGAACCCATTGCAATCCTACGAGATGCAATCACTGCTTCAACCAGGGGACACTGTCATCGACGTGGGTGCCAATCTCGGATGCTACACGGTGCCGTTTGCAGAGCGTGTGGGCATGGCAGGCAAGGTCATCTCCTTCGAGCCATTTCGTTGGCTTCGTCAAGTCGTAGCAGCCAACGTAGCTTTGAATGGCCTGAGCAACGTGTGGCTTCCACCCGTGGGACTGAGCACATCGCGAGGAAGCTTTGAGGCACGTCCACCGCAGCTGAAATTCTTTTCGTCTCCTGGCGGGATGAAGCTGCAGCAGCAGCAACAGGATGCCAAGCCTGAAGAGGTCCCGAAACGTTGAAGAAGCCTTGCGCCACTTGTTGCCCGTTGTGTTACGAGGCAAATGCTTGCAAAGCCTGGCCCGGAGGTCATGCAGCTCTACGATTGGGATTCTGCACCCGAGCGCATCACTGTTCTCAGTCTTGATGAGGTTCTCGGACTTGTGCCGTCACCTGGTGTGGAACTGCTCGGCCTCCCTCAAGTAGATGATGTTCGGCTCATCAAGATCGATGTGGAAGGAATGGAAAAGGAGGTACTTGCAGGGGCCAGGAGAGTGGTACAGGCCTTCAAGCCCATCGTTTGGACGGAGAATGTTGCGTACTTTTCGTCGAACGGCGCGAGCCTCAGCAAAACGCGAAAGACCATTCCTGACTGTTCCTGCCTTCGCGGCGGGCTGCAAGCTGCAGAGTCTCGAGCTCAGGTCAGGATGTGTCCTTTCTGCAGTTGCTCAGATGAATGGGTAGTGTGGAGGAAGTTTGGGAGGCGACCGCCGCCTTTGTCGTTTGGTTCCAGGAGTTCGGCTCGATACTCCATGCCTCATTCGAACACCTGCGCCGTGTGAACTCAGGATCATGGACGAGATGGAGTATGCCTGCGCACAAGCACAAAATGCTCCGAACGACATCATTTGCACGGACCGACACGGTCGTGGGCATCAAATTGTTTAACAGGGTCGCTGAGCCAGGCAAAATGCCGTGCAGGCTACGCGGTGCATGCATCGAAGGCACCGAAGTCCGAGCCGACAAAAGCTAGTTTGGGATGTGTTTGCACACTTTGCTGGATGGCCATGCGCCGCATGTGTTGGTGGCACATGTTTTCTCAGGTGTGTGCGGCTAGCGCTTGAGATGTTCCGAAATCCGGGTTGAAGTTGCATGCTTCAAGTTGCTCCTTGAACTTTTGCCGCTGTGCTGCGATGAATATACAAGCCGTAGGTAGCTTGCAGTGTTGCTCCATGTAAGTTTCAGAAGCATAAACGACAGAGGCGACACGAGAGCCCATCTTTTTTGCGTCCCTCAGCAGCAGCCCCAACACACCACCACCACTAGAAAATAACAAGAGCCGCCACAGTCTGCAACTATCGAAAGCCCTGTGTTGGGCGGTTGCAGCAACCATGGTCGCTTGGAATCAGCAGAAGGATGTGCTTTGTTTGGGCTACAGTAATATTCGAACTCCATTGTTTTTAGCGCACCCTGCCCGCAGCCCCGAGGATGAAGAAGCTGGCCTTGGCAGCGTCCGGGGCACTGCGATAGGTGTCTATGTGGAGAAACCCAACAAACCGGGAAAGGCTTGCTGGCTTGCGTTGGGCGTGCATGAAGTGACTTTTCCTCCATATCTCGGAACTAGTTGGCTTGCGGTCAGATCCTGCGAGGTTTTCAAGCTTCGAGATGTTCGTACCCATGGTACCAGCAAAGACTGGCCGACAGCCAGCAAAGAGATGCCATCGCGGCGAAGCTATGGCAGCCAAGACTATCCGCGAGCAGCGGATGCTAGACGCTCTCGCCACTCGGTTCTCGTTCTGCTATGAGGCAAAGCTCAGAGAATTATGGGTAGGAAGTGTGCGCGAGCTTCGGCAGTTGGAACTGATTTTGAAGTTTCGGCGGGGGCGTATGCCTTTTTTCTTCGGTAGTCGTAGAAACATGGACTCAACACAGCGACCGTGTTTGTAACGAAGGCATGTGACATGCATGCATGTCGTTCCAAGAGGATAAAGGCTTTGCCAGAGTATCATGCATCGAACATGGCCAACCCAGAGATCACAATGTCGATCAGATGCGGATTGGCAAATGGTCGGGGCAGCCATATTCATGTTGACTTAGTGCTAGGCTATAAGGTCGAAATGTCGCAGATGCAATCTCTGAAGTGTGAGGTGATCCATCGCCGCTTCCGACCCCAAGCACTTCCACCTTCCGGCCAAGAGGTCTGGAAACTCCAGACTCACGCCGTGTGGACTCATCACCCGCGCGTCGAGCCCTCAGCACATTCACACACGGTGTGGCCACGGATGTTGTGTCTTAGGTGGGCGCTCCGGTTCACCACAACGACTGACCGTAGAGCCCAGATTCCCGGAAGAGCGAAGCCACTTTGCCTTGGAAAGCGCTGCATGATGCAAGCTCTTTGCAACTTCCTTGATTGAATTCTTCAGGGACAGGTGGTGCATTCAAGCATCCTGCTTCCTCCGCCATAGACCTTTGAGGCGTTCCTCGCTGGCAAGTGCACGCGGATCGCAACGAAGAGGACTTGTATCCACGTGCCGTGGATGCAGACAGACCGCGTCTGCAGACATGTCAAGTGATGTCTCAAGATATCTCACGCATCAGGTTCGCGGCTAGGGCTAGGAGATGTCATTGTGAGTTAAGGTCACAGCACTATCGAGTCCCGGCAGACTTCCTGCGACAGTTTGCGTGCCTGAGCGCAAGCCTTGCGTTTCTCTGGGTGAACGAACTGAGACTTATTTCTCGGAAGACAGCTCTGAGAAGCATCCAAGGCTGGACTGCGAATGTAGACCCGCGGCAATCTAGCGCTGCCTTCGACGATAGGCGTACGGTGCCAAGAAGAGACAACGTGACACCCGAAGAATCCATAGCCACCTCAACCTGCAAGACCGCAAGTGCGCACGCCGCCTGCCGAACCGGAATGAACCGGACATAAGGTCAGCAAAGTCAGCACAGTCAGTACACAGGGAGCAGACGGCCAAGCGCAGACTACTACGGTGGAATCTTGGATGCTGCAGAGGGATTACCACTTCTTGTGTGAGCATGTGTGAGCTATTTCGCAAGCTTCCATGTCCTCACTGAGACTGCTTCTGCTTCTGCCGCATATCAGATGTTGGTTCTGCAATGCTTTGCGAGCACCACAAAGCCCCTGCAGTGGCTACAAATGTTTGAGTTAAGCCGTCCCGGTTCGGGAAGTTTGTGCCACCAGAGCGCACAACTTGCCGAAACACGCTTTTCTACAAGTCATGAGCAAACGGCGAGCCTCGTCTGGCACAGAAGAAGGAAATCTGCGCCACTTGTGGCTCTAGTGACTCTAGTGTGAATCTCTTTTATATACTGTCACCTGAAAGCGGGAATCGAAGTCGCATGCTTCGCAAATCTTCGCTTGGTTTCTTCCAATGAAGACTTGAATCTCTTTGTCTTATGTGGCCGAAATTTCCGTAGATGTTCTACTTCCCGCTTAGGAGAAAGTTGAGTGTCTTTCCAAGGCATCGGTGCCTCAGCGGAGCTGGCAGATTACCGAAGACCACCCGCGCCGGAGCCAGCGCCGGTGCCGGGCCCGCCAGTCACAGCGCCGCCTTCGAACGATGACTTCCGAAGCCACTCGCTGAAAATTCTCTTGGCACATCTGAATCCCCTTATGCCCTCCCTGGGTCAAGGTTGGCTTGCTGGCTTGTTGGAATCGGAGCGGGAGGTGGTGCATGAGGCGCGCGCCAAGATTTTCGAGAAGTGCATGCTCGAAGCTGGCTCCTCGGTATCATGCTGCTGTATTGGCACAGGTCATCAAGGGGCGGCACATTGAGATCCTTAGCCAGGTCAATCTCAAGCTCGACTCTTGGCCTATATTATTTAATTATTCTTGCTTATGCTATATCGGATCTGCTCGCATGGAAGCCGTCTAGACCGAAGTGCATTTGGTAAGATTGAAGAATCTACGAAGGGCTCGGTTGAGACCTGGATTCTATCGGCCGTTGTAGGGCCTTTCTTCATTCAGGACAGCATGGGAAAGCCCGCAGCGCCAAGCGACATGCCAAAGCCTTTGCGGGTGACGCCAGCACCGCAACAGAAGGGCGACTCGTTGGCATTGCCGATGTCTTCAGGCGATCAGTTGGGGCATCCCGTCCATGGAATTTTCAAGGGGCAGAGTGTACGAAATCTGGAACATTCTCTGAGGCTTGGGGTCGCAGCCGCATTTGCCGGGAGTATCTCAGTCTGCAGATAAATCCCGGTCAGGGCTGGAATAAGGGAGCGCATGAATGCTCATGAATGGTCGCGGCTTCGAAGGCAGCGAACCAGGATACAGTGATACAGCATATTGGCTTGCATCGGCTTCAATAGACTAGATGCTTTCTCCGAGTCAGCCTCATCGCCAAGGTCTTAGTGTTGCGCGAAGATTGGGCAGCTGGAGCGAAAGACCCCGAGACGGGCCTCAGTGCAAAAAAGGCCTCTTGACCATTGGGTGCGTGTGCCTGCGAAAGTTCTAGCTTTCGCTGGGCGGCATGCTGCCCAACATTCTGGTACCGGTATGAGTGCCATGACAGCAGTTGGCTGTTCTGCCAGCAGTCAACGACGCCCGAGGTTTCTGTGACGGACGACACTGACGCAAGGTCGCTTGGTCCGGATGCGACTCGACAGCAGATGTCTTGCTTCCTGCCATTTGCACGCATCTGACCGTCCGACACACAGCAAAACCTGCTTGTCGGCATAATTTGTCGGCATGGAAGCAATGGCAAGTATTTTAGGAAGATATTCTTCTTCATGACATGGCATGCTTCCGAGTGGCTTGTTTGGTGTTCTCAGACTGATGTTGGCTGATCGTGGTGGTCCGTAGCATGATGTTATGGTGCCCGCATAAGGACGTGCCGGTTATGGCGATGTCGAGTTTGCCACCGCCAGAAAGATCCATAGCCTTCAGTGAGCCGGATTTAAGAAGAACGAAGTCCGAAACTTGACTGCAGCGGTTGGCAAACACTGTCCCTCAGCTTGACGTCCACGCCTCCTGAGCCAGAACGAATCGCTTATCAAGTGTTTTGCCAATACACCCGCTTTCCATTTTGTGCTTGTGCTACTGGCATTGGGAGCAGGCCGGTAGAGGTTGGGCTCTGAGGCGGGATCGCTTGGCAGATCAGATACGCTTGATGCCAAGAGCAAGGGAGCTGTTAGCGTTGCAAGCAGCCGCACCATGGCAGCAGCGCATCATGGGACCCGACATGGCTTCCACTGTTGCAGCCTTGCCAGTAGATAACCTTTCAAGGCATGACGCAGACCATTCCTCATCTTCGGAAGAACAGCCTCTTGGAGGGGCTCAAAGAGCTTCCGTTTTGGCATCCAGGACAACCGCCGCTTCTGAAGCCTGCTGAGCGTACTAAGCTCCGCGGTCTTGTGGGCAAAGTTCCTTGTGGGCTCCTTGGTCCTCTGCATAGCCTACAGCTTCTTTCAGGACGATACGTGCACACGACGCAGTTCGACGCAATTTTCTGCGGCGTCATTTTAGCGAACACCGTCGTGAATCTCGGCAGTGTCGCTGTATTCCTGGTGTCAACTATCCAGCATTCAAAATCGTTGCGTATAAAGGGGTGTCCAGTCTCCGCCACAAGTTGTAGCGCTTTAGCAGGCTTGGTGTTGGAGTTGCGAACACAGCTTTGTGTTCCTCAGCTTGGCAAGCAAGCAAGCAAGCAGCCAGGCAAGCAAGCAGGCAGGCAGGCAGGCAAGCAAGCAAGCAAGAGCCCAGCATGAAGCAGTCATCGAAGTCTGACATGCAGGTTTGAGGGTTCAGGGTTAAGGATTAGAGCCCAGCGTCTATAGTCTTTGGGAGTCAGGGCATGCAAGCCGTGTGCCAGCAGCCGCGGAAGTTCCAGCTCAGACAACGATATCTAAGGTTCATGCGGTTCAAACGCACCCAGGTCTTGAGGTTTATGGTCCAGGGTGTAGGGATTAGGGAGTTTAGGGTTAAGGTTTAGAAAAGGTGGCACTCGCCATTTGAGGTCTTTGTAGCTCCATTGCACATGAAGGTTTAAGATCCTAGTAAATCTTACAACTTGTTAGGAAATCCTACCTAATCTGAGAATCCTAAATTCCTCTGAAAGTCCCGTGATATCTGACGATCTCTTAACCAACATCAGAAAACCTTCTGAACCCCGACGTATTCATAGCAAGTCTCAAGAATGAATTCCTGCGAAACTCCAGTGGGATCCTATGAAAGCTTCTCAAATCCTACGGAATCGCCGGAAATCCCTCAAATCTCACGGAAGCGCAGGAAATCCTACGCAAGCTTAACTACAGCAAAACCTAAGAAGTTTCACAAAGTCCTGTGAAATCCTTAGGCGGAAATGCGCATGGAAACCGATAAAATGCTGACTAGCTGCACAATCTACAGATTTCCTACACCAAGCTACACCAAGAAGAACAGAAAAACAATACAAGAAACAACGGAAAGATCTAGCAAAAAACAGAGACCGGTGTTTTCCCGGAACCACTGCATCGGGAGTTGGCTGCCCCGTGCCCGTGCCACATCCTCTGCGTCAGAGGATGGCGCTGCAGATGCAGTACAATGGCCTTCGTCGTGGCTACCTATTGGGTGCTCCACATTTCAACTACGATGCCAGCATCTTGGACCTTGGAGCAACCATGCGCCGTAATTTCTCAGGATGTTCTGCCTTTCGTTTGCACTGTGTGTTCTTTGTGCGGTTGAGAAAGGTGACTACTGGCCGCAAGCGCCGGTGATCTTCACATTCTTGGTGGACTTGCCTGCATCATCAGCGACCCACAGACATCAACAGTGTGGACGGAGAGACGCAGAGAGAGAGAGAGAGAGACAGAGCCGGCAGTCGCCTTCAACAGATGAGGCCAGGGGGTTTAGGTAGTCAAGGGTGGTTGCAGAGTTGCTGACCGGAGGCCCGCATCTGTTGTAGCTGTCTTACCGAAAACCGAGACTGACAGGGCGCGCACGCGCGCGGGGGAGGGTTGACCGCCTTCCCTTTGTCTGTGTTGAAGAAGAGAGAGACAGACCAAAAATTGAGGTCAGTAACACAAACACTTTTCACACCCTCCGAAAGCCCCAATAACAATTNNTCATGCCCTGGGGAAGAAGAAGAGACAGAGTGCAACAGTACCAGACAAGGGGGAAACCCCTGCCCACAGCCCTGGCGAAAGAAAGAGTGTACCAGACGTAACAAGGCTGAGTACAGCCCAGCACGCTGGGGAAATAAATCCCAAAAAGGGAACGCGTCCGCCACTGAACTGTGGGTTTGCGTGCATGCAAGGGGGGGGGCAGTTGGACCACTGCCTTTCCCATGCCCTGTCGAGAGACAGCAAGCAAGCAAGTGAGAGAGATATCTCTTTACGAGCTCCATGGGCGTAGCCTTTGAGTTGCCCCAAAGCTCCCTGAACCCCGAAGTGAAGTGAAGTGAAAGTCACGCGATTATCGCTTGCTGTTGCAGCACATGCTACCCCAACGCCGCATCGAGCCCGCACAAACCCGGGAAACACTTCTTTTTCGGTTCCCGCTCTGCGGCACCCTTGATAAAAAGCCCGAGTCTATCCAGCGGAGATACGCGGCGCAAGGACTGCCTAGACACTGGACGAGGGAGAACTTGACATCATCGTTCGTGGTGAGAGCGCAGCAGTGATGCGTCGAGATGCTTAAGCTGTTTACCTGTAACTCTCATCGTCATAGTGTGCTGAATTGTGTACTGGCCTGCCGCATGTCAATCTTGCTGAACGTCGAACAAGCTGCGCGCAAGGGCTAAATGCGGTTCTGCATTTGCACACTTCCGTGGCTAGGATTGGGTATTTGGCATCGTGTATTGCTTAGAGATGATTGTCAAGCTCATTGGTTTCAAGAAGCGTTTCTTCCAGGACACTGGGCATCAACTGGCACTTGCATTGCTTTCAGACACTGCTGTTTCCACGCAGATGCCCCGCTGCCCCTTGCACTGCACGTCGTTCGTGTTCCCGCAGCGCAGGAATGGTGGAATTGGTTCGACGGGGCGATTGTGCTGATGTGGCTAGTAGAAGTTTCGCTCCAGTCCGTTGTTGCGCTGGACCCTGCGTTTCTCCGAAGCTTGCCAGCCTGTTGTTTTGTTGCCCGTCTGCCAGACGAGAAGAAGCGCTGCTTTGAACTAAGGAATGATGCGAATGGCTCGACTCCTTCGGCTCATTCGACTAGTCAAGACAATTCAAGGCAGTCCAGGGCCCCAGGGCCCTTACTGTAACAGGGCACGGCTGGGTCCCTTCAGCCCGTGCCAGGCTTCAATGCGCTGTACATCATGACGACGGCTATGATGGGAAGCGCAACATGCTTGTTTTGGTCCTTCATGTCTCTCGGATGTACGAACAGAAGTTAGATTCAGGCTCGAGACAGACTTGGCGCCGCTTGCCGATGAAACTGCATCAGGTTGCTGACCACAGTGCAAATGATGATCGCGTTCTTCCTGAATGAGAGTTTGGAGGTTTACTTCACAGATGACACCAAGCCTGTTTCTGTGGCTGCATTCAATGCAAGCCTAACGTCTCCTCCTTCTGATGGTAAACTGGCAGCCTCGCCGGCCAGATTTTATGAAATGCTTTGAGGCATCCGAGAAGCTGGAAGTTTTCGAGTACTTTGGGACGACTGCACGGGTCATGCTCACCATGTTCGAACTGACCCTGGCGTAGCTTGCCCGAGAGTTGGAGACCGGTGCTGCTGTTCTTCAGCTTCGGCCTGATGAGTGCCATGACCGATCACTCCATACGACGAGTGTGCTTCACGCTGAGGAACTGGCCAACAGCTGCCCGAATATTGCAGGAGAATGTCACAGCTGCTCGGCGGCACGTGCTCCTAAATCAGAAGTGAGCAAAGGGCTCAAAAAGAGCCCGTGGAGTGCGAAATCCAGGAGTGGTATTCTATTTTCTCGGTTGCTTACAAGCTGATCGTCGGCTTTGCGGCGGTTGGAATCATCAATGGTGTCTTCATGCAACTTGACGGTGGTAGCTGTGCGCTTGTTTTCGGGAGTCTTTGGGGTTCGATGCATTCTTTCGAACAGCGCAGATTCACTTTGCAGCCATGCTTTTCGGGTGCCTACCCCGGGTCTTGTCGGGCCAGCTCCCGGTAGGTCGGGCTGGTGGACACAACTTGGCCCAACCGTCAGTGAACATACGTAACTTCCGAGTCCGTGACACAGGTCTCGGGGAGAGCATGTGTTGAACACACTACAACTACGTAACCAGACACAGAGAGATAGAAGACCGAGCGCGAACAAGCAACCGAGCGAGCACAAAGAGTCACGGCAACCTGTCCGTTTAAATGCACAAGTGAGTATGTCTCTGTGTGTGTGTGTGTCAGGGTTCAGTGCTGAATGGTATGCTAAGCTCTGCTGACGGCTGGCACAGCTGATGCTCAGATGTCCTGACGGGCCCAGTGGTATGCTTTAGTTCGCTGTCCAAGGCAAGAGACCTTCAAAGTGGCAGCATCAGATGACAAGCTGATGATGCGTCAGAAGGACAAGCCGAACAGTGGTACTGGATCTGCTAACCTAAGTTTACCTCGAGCCCTCCAAGCCGTGGATTTGCAAAGGATGCAAAACGGATGATCGCTGCAGGAAGGGTCGCGAAAGCTAGGTCTTCAGAAGCCTGTGGCAGTTCTCTGTCAGAGCGTTACCGAGTCGGCAAACTGTTATAGTATACTTAAAGGCATGTGTCGGGGTTGGGTCCTCCCACCCCCTTGTTCATTGACTGAACTCTCATTGGCAAGGCTGCTCTCGAACACCCCCACAAGGAACGCCTTGCGAGTATGGTATAGGGGGGACTCAGCGCTACCTTGCTCCAATCAACTCCAGTTTTGGTTATCGTTGGGCAGGTGACTTGCTGCTCTACACCCGCTGAGAAAATCCGGAATGGACGGTTTTCACGGCAGATGCAACCGCCCTGAACACGACAACAGTAACGAACGTGTTTTGGGGGCCCCGGTTTTGCAGAGGCCGAAGCGATCTGGCATGTTCGTGGCCCTCGAAGTAAAGAGTGTCCGGGAGTCAGTCAGGACAATGTGTGCATCCCTTCTCTGTGGGGAGCAAGACGGGCCAAAGTGTGAGCAAGACCTATCGCGGCAGCTCATACCCGGACAGTACTAGCATGGTAGGCGACGCCATGCGCAACAACGAGAGGCAGTTTGAACAGTGGACCGCATGTTTGCATGCGTAGGAGCGAGATCGGTCTCTACACACCAAAAAGATGAGAACTCTCTTCGCAGCGGCTGATGAGTCGGGAGACGGCTTCATTGTCTGCTGGTTGCATTGAGACGATTCATTGCCCGCCGTTCTGGAGTGCTTCGTGTTAGCAGCATTGGAGGCATGCTGCCTCCTGTAGAATCCATCTCAGGACCGAGAGGAGTTCTGCGAAATTATGAACATCCCGGAAGTCAGGACTTGCCCGACGACTACTGCTCAGTGCATCACATGGTGAATCATTGTGGATTCAGCATCCTGCCAGTTTGTGTGGTTCTTTCTGTCTCTAGTTCACACTTTGCCCTGGCGCCCAGTTGCACTGGGAAGTAGCGCGTCCTGCTCTGGACCTCTTATCCTCGCCTGGCATGTCAAGATCCTTCATTGCTAGCTTTATTCACACGTGACCGTAGTTAAAGTCCAAAGCAGTCTTGGCTTTCAGGACCTGGTTGGCGGCTCAGGAGCTTCCCGTTCGTGCATCTTGGCACTTCAATCCGTTGCTTGCAGTTTGTCACAGGTTGTGGCCCCGTGCCTTTGGACTTTCTTCCTGCATTGATGCAGTACAGTACAGCAAAGCTTTGCATGAGCCTTGCAGCTCTCCGGCTCAGGACCCAAATGTGTTGTTCAGTTTGCTTGATGATGGCGATGCCGAGCTCACCGCGGATTGCTGCCTGAAATAAGCATTGAAGCATGCCGTGCGTGCGTGTGCGTGTGCGTGTGCGTGTGCGTGTGCGTGTGCGTGTGCGTGTGCGTGTGCGTGTGCGTGTGCGTGTGCGTGTGCGTGTGCGTGTGCGTGTGCGTGTGTGCGTGTGTGTGTGTGTGTGTGTGCGTGTGTGTGTGTGTGTGCGCGTGTGCACGGGCCCCAGTCATCGGTGCAAGACCCTGTTGGGTGGGCATTTATTTCTGATGTGCGCTTGAGGAAGAGCTAGTCAAGGGCGTCGAGCGCCTGAAAGGAACTGCCAAAGGCATTGACCTTGCTGCGTTCATAGCCGAGTATCGAGACTTCGACGCAGAAATTTGTATCCCAGGTTACCTGCCTCCATCTGTTGCCCACACTGCATGTTGAATGACGCTCAGGCGACTTCGCCTCAAAGGTCGCGGAAAAATTGGACTTAACGCTGGAGTACCCGATAAAGACTGACGATGAGGATGACGACGACGACGGGTAGGGTGAGCTTCGAGTGGAATCGAACGTGGTGATTGTCGGTGAACCTGGGTGCCATTGAGCAGACCATCTGCTCTGGCAGCCTTTTTTGACCATGCCATAACAAGACTGTGGAGTGTTGGCCCATTTCTGTGGTGAACAGCTGCATCAAGCAAGGATTTATACTGGGTATTCAATCCTTAGGCCCGTAATTTAGACATGTGGCTTTATGCTAGGAAAATCTATCGGACAAGTTTGGACGGCAGTTGTGGTCGTCCTCGGAACTTTAGATGCGTCGCAGAAACAGCGATCCGTAATGTAGGGGCCTTAATAATTAGAATAGGGTTTTGGGGCCATTATACTATGATTACAATAAGGAGCCCCCAAAGTAGTGTAGGCAGTTATTTAGGCCCCTACATTAGCGGTTCCATTTTTCGCTGGTGTTTCTGGCAGAGCGACCTGCAAGGCTCCAAAGAAGCACTGCATTCCCGGGGCACTCTCCTTGGGCCGCTTGCAATATAATATAATATAATATAATGTAATATAATATAAGTAGAGCTGCTTCCTGTATGTTACCAGTGCCCCAAATCCAAGAAGCATCTCGATGTTTCCGACTTCTGGAGAGGCCCTGCGAAGATGCCCTCAGAAAGGGTCACATGTTTTCCTAGATCTTACTATAGCTCTCCGCAGTCAGATGCAGGTGTGAGCCATTGCAGCCAAATCGGACTTTTGCATCCTCATGTTGAGTGCAGCTCTTGAGAAGTTGTGACTGCGAGTGAGTACCCTTCGGCAAAGCTTCCACAGTCCAGAGCAGCTTTGACAAGCTGCGTGCGAGACGCATAGGGTTCTCGTATTGCCCCTGGCGTTCTTCACACATGTTCACTAGGTCGCTAGATGATTTGTGAAGCTTTCTGCCAGCTTTTGCCTTCGCTGTCGCTGTGGTCCTTGTTCTTTGCGAGGCAGGGGCAGCTTGAGGTTCCGCTTGGAAACCACACGGACTACGAAGTTCGTTGAACATCATTGAATTCAGTGCCGACTTCAATTCGTAGGGTGCAGCGGGCTTGTTCCAAACCACTCGCTTGCTTGTTGCTCTGAGTGCCTTTCGAGGATGTTGCGAAACACCTAGCACTGCAGATGGCTTCTCTGTAAGAGGAATGACAAGCTTGCTATTGCATGCTGCCGTCGTTTCACCGCCAGCCTGTGCAGCCGGCTACTTCAGACTCGCTGCTTCCAGCGTGCAAAGACGCAGAGATCAGAGCGTAAAATGGCGGAACGCTTGCTGGCAGGTAGGAGCCGGCGAAGATGAGAGACAGGAAGAAGCCTGGGTCCGAGCACCGCAAACCTACCTTTGCCATGTCGGCTCAAAAGCTGCAGCCAGTCAGCGGACTCGGCTTGTCGGCTCAAGCTGCTCAAGTTTCACCCGTGTGCCGAGTCTGGAGCAGGTCTTTCGAGCAGTGTGGAAGCGAGAGCCTGAAACTGGTGGCTTCCAGGAAAAAGGGTGCAACTCCTGACTACTTAACAGCTTAGTAACATCCTGACCAGCTCGAAAGAGACCTGCTGACAAATTTTCGACATCTGGTTCGTCCATCTCAAGATCCCCGGTGCCACGTTTCCCACAGGCCAGTGCGGAAGGGCTCTTAATTTTTTTTGGGGATGTGTCCGTTGGACTGGAAGCCAGGCGAAGCCTTCGCCCTTCGTCACAATGAGTGCAACTCGGCAGAAGCCTGGGGTCTGGGAGACTCGAGCCCAAACCAATGACACACGTTTCCGCCTTTTTTGCGATGTCGCCTCGCATCTTCGTGATGATGTTCTCAATCATTCGACAGGTCAGGTCTTTCTTCGCTCCAACAAGTATTATTATTATTGTGACAATTTTGGTCATTGTTGTTATTCTTACGATGGCTCTTTTGGTTGTTGTCCAGGTTAACCCGAGCTCGGAGCCTGCCTTGATCAGCAAGAAGGGAAAGACGGCCAAGGCCAGCGGGGGGTAGAGGAGTGATGCGCAAGTGAAGTCTGGCACGAATGCCTCTGACACTATCGCAGGGTTTAGGTTTAGGATTTAGGGTGATTTCGGCTTGGAGAAAAAAAAAGTGATTTAGGGTTTAGGGTCCCTATCAAGGTAGCGGAAAGCCAAGCTCCTGCTTCAGGTATATACCTTGAGACAGCTTTGTTCCCAACGCTTTCACATGGAGCAGCCTGATCTGGTACACACTCCAACGAAACTCTTCGACCGCGGCGACAAATTGGGCAAAGCGCTCGGTTGATCTCAGCTCGAGATCCGGAGTTTTCGTCTTCCAGCCTTTGCGAGTGGCGGTTCCCGGGTTTACTGAGGTGGCTCCTCGGAGTTTTTTCCTGGCGGTTTCTTGAGTCCGAAGTCCACCGAGACCCTGGAAGGCCAATTGGGAAGCGTCAGCCCGTTCCCCGAATGTTGTTTGTAATGACTGGTGCTGAGCACTGGGAGCCGGCCAAACGGCCCTAAACCCTGAGCCGAGCATGTCGCTGGAGATGCTCCGATCCGGCTTCGATTCAGGCTGGCTCCAGGAAGCATTCCGCGAGCAGCAGATCGCAGTAGCACAGGCTGGACCCGCATCTGAAGAGCACTGGAAAGGATTAGTATGCTTCGTGTTGTAAGCGTTGCAAGCTAGAGCAGCTGGAGGCTGTTTGCCAATATCCGAACTCTTACCTGTTTCCCCAGACCCTTCGGCTCTGCCACCTGCCAACTGATTGCAGTCCCTGTGCTGGTCAAGGCGCTACAGGTCCGGCAGCAGTGGATGATGCAACAACTTCTCGGCAAGCTGGACACCCGACAGAGATTCTCCTATCGTGCCTCCGAGTAGCCTCGTTGGGTGCAGCAGCTGTGCTGCGCCTCTCGATCTGCGCGCGGCTGCTGTGCCGAGGATGTCGTCAGCCCCACAAACAGAAGCAGCTCTGGAACCGACGTGCGCAGCTTACGCTCACTAAGTTTGACAGGCTTTTTCAATGTTTGCGGCTGACGAGGCAACACCACTTCGGGTGCCGGCGGCACAGGTCTCAACTCGATTGAACAGCAGAGGAAGCAGCAGCCCGGTTCCATTTGGCTCGGAATGCAGCAGCATCCAGTGAGCTTCGCATCTGCCGAGCTGGGCCTCAGGCAGAGAGCGTGGCATGGACTCAGTAGCTGGGACTTGGCAATAGAAGGGAGCACTTTTCCCGAGCATGCTTCCAATCATGACTCCGGCAAAAGTTGTGAGATCCAAGATTGTGCATGGACAGCAAAGCCCCGTGCAAGCTTCGGTTCGTAGCTAGTCCTACTTGTGACTTAACTAGATTCTCTGTTCCCATACATGACAGCGGGGCTGGAGCTCGTTTTCCATGCTTCTTCCTCGCTCCGCACTTCGGCAATTGGGTCGGTTCAGACAGCTTGTTTCTGCCTCGCTAACTGCAGAGCTGCACGCTGCAGCTACTGCGACCCAGGTAGAGCCACAGGCTCCTCCATTGCCTCCATTCCCACCGCTGCCGAATCAGCTGCCCAACCACCTCTCAGAGTCAGATCCTGTGCAAGGCCCTGACACGAAGGGCCTTTGAATTTGTAGCATCCTTTAGCCTGATTTGCCCTTTCGGAGCAGTTAGACCAGTGCCGCGACCGTAGTGGGAGGCGCCAAGACCGAGATCATGAGCCTCGAGATCCCCCGAGCTGCTGGTCGCAACAGGCAGCGGAAGCATAAGTTGCATGTGGGGAGCTCCTGCCCTTCTGTTTGTGACAGGCCGGGTGCAAAGCCGGACGTATTGAAACTCGACGACGACGATGAAGATCTGGTAGCAAGCTGTCAGCACTGAGAGGTCAAGAGATTGTGGTTGTTGTTGTTGTTGGTGGTGGTGGTGGATTGTGTTGGCTTTAGCATTGGTGGGGTTGTTGTTGTTGTTGTTGCTGCTGCTGTTGTGCGTTTGTTTGTGTGCTGGTGTGTGTGTGTGTGTGTGTAGGTAGGTAGGTAGGCAGGCAGGCAGGCCGGCAGGCAGGCAGTCAGGGAGAGAGAGAGAGAGAGTAGTAAAAAGCAAAGACGGTGGAGACCAGGGCGCGTCGCCGCGCGGGAAGGGGTGCGCTTGTGCCCTTTCTCTGTCTGTGTGGAAGAAGAGAGAGAGAGAGAGAGAGAGAGAGAGAGAGAGAGTGCTCGGGGGCTTTTCCCCCATACCACAAGCCAGCAAGCAAGAGAGCGAGCACCGCACAAGACTTGCTGCACCTGAGGCCACTGAGGCTTCGAAGGAGTCTATCGGAAATTCCGGATACAGTGGCAGCAAGTCGCCAACCGTGAGCGGCCGGCCGAGCCAAAGCATGGGTGCAAGTCCCTCGGCCCTATTTTTGGACATCCTCGTCAATGTAAAATGTAAAATTTGGTGCCTTGTCGAGTGCTAGATTAGGATGAATTTAGAAGAGGTTCACGGCTCTGAGTCCTATAAGCCGCACATAAAGTTTTCATTCGAGTTTTTACGAATCCGCGCCTTTCATCAGAATTCGGACCCAGCCGAAAGTCACAAGGCCGTGCTGACGGAGCGAAGCTCTTCCGGAGAGCTGATGACTTCTTGGATCAACTCAAAATGCCTTTTTGGCATCCAGGATAGCGGATTTTGGCGGATATCTCGGGAACCTCCCTGGAGACTGCGCTTTTTTGTGCTGGTTCCATGTTTATTGGCATCCAATTTTGCAGGACGGATCGTGAAAGCCACGCAATTTGATGCCTTCATTTGCGCGGTCATCATGCTGAATACATTGGTGTCGCTATGCTGCAATTAGATGGCACAGGTCGCGAGCTTGCAGCGGGCTCTTGCACCCGCGCCCAATCTGCCTAAGGATGGCCTTCGAATCCCAATATCTTGGTCTCCAAAGAGGCATCAGTTTTGCCAGGTGTGTTGTTGCTTGCATGTTCCGGGTCCTGTGTTCATCTGTGCAGCCTGGACACCATTAAATGCAATGGCTCAAGCACAACGCCTTCGACACCGACTTCAGATATCGTCCCGGATCTTCCGCCTTCCACATTTCCGACACATGTCCTGCTTCGGTCTCATCGGGTCGAAGAAGACGAAGACAACGAAGACGAAGACAAAGCCGTTTCAGACAACAAGCACAACGCTTACGTCAAGCACGGCTGCAGCGGAGGACATCCTGTCTGAAGGGTCGGCAGCTGAGTACTCTTCCGAGCTCCCATTTGAACCTGAACCCGAAGCTCAAGCATCAGAGCTGCAGAAGCTGTTCAACGAGACGGAGAATCTCCAGGACAAGCTTGTTGCAGTGGTCGTGACTATCTCTGCAGAGTGCTCGTATGATGAGAACTTTCGGGAAGTGAAGCCTGAGACGGTCCCTGGTGAGCGGGTAAGCACCTACTCTGTAAGCTTGCACGATGCTGCCAAGCTTCTGGATCTTCTTTCTGGCGGGCCGGCTGCAGAGCTGGCAGAGAGTTGCTGGAGGGAACTACTTGATGACATCAACAGCGTAGCAGCAGACAGCGTAACCTTCAATTGGGAATGCTGTGGGGCCTGCGGTCCGCATGGCTTCGGCCGAGGCCGACGCCGAGGACAAGTTGGACCAAGTGCGACGATGCAACTGGTCGGCCATGCCTTGCAAAGAGGCTTTACGGTGATGGTCTCGGACTTTAGTCTCAAAGCTTTACTGTCGGAGTGGTCGGAGGAGCTGTTGGGTGCAAACCCTTTCGTGAAGCTTCCGAGTTCGTGCGACCACCAATTCCAGCTCGACTTTTTCCCGGAGCACTTGAAGAATGACGAAGTTCCCCAGCAGCTTCAAGTCGTCGGGGAGCTTTGTGCAGCAGATGGACGGGCCGTCGTATCTGCAATGAGTGACACCATTGTCTACACCATCAATCCAAAAAGGCCGCAAACAGATGCGTACCAGTTGCGAGTGCTCACAGTTGTTGGCAGCTGGTCCGGCGGCGGCAGCGTTCCTGAAGCCATGAAATGTGAAATCGAGCACAATGGTTCCAGCAAGCGCGGAGTAGCAGGTCACGTGACACTCACATATCCCTCGGGTGGCCAGCTCGTCACCAGCATGGGGCATTGGATTGAACTAACCCGCATCAACACCTCCGTGGAGTCACTCATGCAGGTAGCAGCGCACAATTTCGGTGAAGAGGAAGTTTACCAGCACAGACGGGAACTGAGCCAAATGCGGACCGAAACTGAACGCCAAGTATGCCTTCAGAAACTTAGCAAGCAGATGATTCAGAAGTCAGTGCCAACGAGAATGAAGGCGCGAACGAAGTATTGATTGGAAGATTGCATTTGCTTTTTATGTAGTGTCGAACCACGTTGTACAGTTGTGGCCCGTGTTTAGATGACAAGATGAGACTAGGACCCTTTGCATGCAACGTCGCATCACCTTGTACAGGAGGTGAAACAAGCTTGACGTGAAAAGAGCTCAAGGTCTGTACTCTGCCCATGTCCCACAGTCCCACATACACACATACATTCATACATACTTATATATTCATTTATTCATGTTTATCTGTATACATGCATACATATACACACACGTCACATGCATACATACATACATGCATCTACTGTGCCGTATATGTATCTGTGTGTATACACAACACATGTATAAAGATAGATCGCCTTCTGCTTGCGTTGACTCAGCTCCCCAGGCTATGACCTGGGCTATCCGCGCTTCACTCTGCCAGCCAGACCTGGGGCTGCAATGATAACACCTTAGGGTTTAGGGGTTTAGGGGTTCGGGTTTGGGGTTTAAGATTTAGGGTTTAGGGGTTTTAAGGTCTAGGTTTAAGGTTTGCGGGTTTTGGGGTTTCGGGTTCGAGCGTCTTGGGGTCCTGGGTTTAAGGTAAAAGGGTTTTTAGCGTTTTTTAGGGAAAGACGGCCTCCTGGACGAGCCAGGACCTGATACGGTGTGGTGTGGTTTTCCAAAAGCTACTACCGAGCTATCAGAGCAAGATTGGCGATAGTGTGTATACATACATACATACATACATATATATATATATAATAGATAATCGATAATATATTCGAGCCGGGGCATGCGATGGACTATTTGGGGGCTTTCTTTCGTCCTTATCCGAGGCGAAGAGTGGCCTCTCGCAGATCTCGGCTTTTTCATGTTGGCCTCGGCCTGAGTCCAGCAGAGCAGATTCGAGCCGTTGTGGCCATCATCCTGGATCAACAGTGAGATCAGGATTGGGTTTTCGGTGTGATCTACTTCCTAGAGATCATCATCAAGATCTTCGGCCTGAAATGCGGATTTATCAAGGAGCTCTGCTCGAGTTCTAGTAGGACTTAGGTTGGAAGCTGGAGGATGTAAAAGAAGGCGGACAACACATTCACTAGTTGGAATCATAAAACCTGCCGGTCGGGACGCAAATATCTCCATCACCAGAAGCACGATAAGCAGAGATTGCACATTATCGTTGTTAGTTCATATCACACAACAGCCATGTGTCATATCAGTCTTTTCGTCATTACAGTGCACTATGTCATGATGTGTTATGTTGCCCATGTTATGTTGTGTCATGCTCTATCAAGTACAAAGTCAATATTGCTTTATCTGGCATTCGGCTAACATATTCAACACATGATGATAGTTTTTCGGAGGGCATCAGCACCAGGACCTTAAACCGGCCCTCAAACCTAGATACAGAGAGTAGTGCATCTTTTCAGTTGCCACCCTGCCACGTGGGCTCGTCCTAGCTGGAACAACAACGGGATCCATTGAATTCTACGCACAAAAGCCAAAACAAAGAAAAGCCTTAAGCCCAAAAGAGGACCCATGGAATTGGTTTGACTCGTCCTTGGTCATGTTTTGGCTGGTGGAGAAGACCTTGAGCGCGTACGCACAGCTGGATCAGGGCCTTCTCAGACGCATGGTCTAAGGGATTTCTACAAGGGTTGCTGCGTAGGGCCACTCCTGTTTGGGTTTCTACAAGGGCTACTATGAGGTTCCTTCCCAACATGAACGCATACAGAGTAAGCCTTGTGCTTTTAACAACCGGAAGCTTCCACTTGAACCCTTCTGGCTCGGAACAAAGGGCCGTCCGCTCATAGTTACTGGTGGCAAAGCTTCACTGAGAGTGCTGGTGCTGTACTGCGAGTAACTGTGCTAACTGCGGGCCTGCTTCGTGCTTAGCTATTGTTGTTACGCTGAGTCGTGACCCTGTTGCTTATTGGCCCTGCGTGGCTTGCTTCAATCGAACTTCTGGAGCTGTGTCGCACGATGGCCCGACCACTTCCTTGCTCAGCCTACCGTCGCCTTTGCTGTGGCGTAGCGGTTTAGCGATGCGCGAGCCCCAACCCTAAACCTTGACTGATACTTGCACTGTGGGACCTCGCCGCTTGTTCGAGTTGTGAGAGCGTAAACCTTGACTCTCCGAACGCAGAGAGAAGAGCTTTCGTCAAACATGCCGGCCTTGGGACTCTATCTTTAGGGATTTAAACTGTGGGGTCTTGGGGTTGGGTTCGAGTATGCCTCTTCAGAGGAGGGGTAGCGATTCAAAGTTATCGAATTCGTGCCAGAGTGCCGATTTGTTATGCAAGCCCGGGCTGGCGAAGCGAAGCCAAGGAGTGCTCCGAATGGGGCGAGTGCTGCGTCTCTTGAGGCTGGTAAAAACTATTCAAGGCTTTGATGCCTTGCACTTCGGCCGCAGAGATACCGCAAGCCACCCCAAGACAAGGTCCTGTGCAACCGACTGCGGCCCAGGTACATCATGACGACAGCCATGCAAGGAAGCGTCACAGTGCTTTTTTGGTCATTTGTGTTCCTTGGCTTGGTCAGCATAGAGGATGTTTGCGTTGGACGTAAGTGGCACCCTCCCTGCAACTGTGCGCTTCCGATGAGGCTGCTGATGGTGGTGCAGACTCTCATAGCATTTACCCTTAATCAAGCGTTGGACAGCTACTTCAAAGACAAGACGAAGCCTGCAACTTCGCCGCACATCACACGAGCCCCGGTCTTTGTGTAGATGTACATAGGCTTGCGCAAGTTGTAGACCTGCTGCCTTGTGAGAGGTGAACGAGCAGCACCAGGTCTTTGAATACTTCGGAACTGCGGGGCGTGCGATGTTCACCATGTTTGAACTCACCCTGGCGCCACTCGGAAAGTAACCAGCAGGCAAGCTTCTAGACAGATGTGTCTCCGTCGCGTTGCAGGTCTTTGGGTTTTTCATTCGTCAGAGAGCGGTTAGTTTCGGTCGGTGGCTGGTGATTGGTGGCCCTCATTCCACTGCTTACAGAGAAGTCTAAACAGCAAACAAAGGTAAAGCAGAGCAGAACAGGAATCAGAGCTTCTCCTCTGACAAGCTCCAAGGAATTGGCCGACGGCAGCACGCATCTTGCAGGAGAACGTAACAGACTCTTGGATCATGACGTTGGTGCTTTCGAAGGCATCACTTTTCCTTTGTTCGTACAGCATCAGCATCCCAGGAGTACTACGGCATCTTCTCCGTTGCCTATAAGCTCATCATCGGCTTTGCGGCGGTTGGCATCATCAATGCCGTGTTTATGCAGGAAACGTTTAAAGTGGCCGCCTCCGATGACAAGCTCATGATGCGCCAGAAGGTGGGATCCCCTGCGTTTCCGAGTGGGAAGCCAGATTCCAGTCGCCTCGTGCCAGCTGTCGTGCTTTCGCACATACTCCTGATTACTTCAGTTGAAGCTGCATCAGCCGCAGGACCGAGACCGAATGCTGCATACAAAAAAGATGCGGACCTTGTTTGCAGCTGCGGACGAATCTGGTGACGGCGTGTTGGACACTCGGGCGGCAACAGAGCACTGGGTGTGCCACCAGCAATGCAAGCTTTCCCGAAAGTGCCTGGAATCTTGCAGTACAGTCATGTCCACATGCTCGTGTCCAGGACCAAGATGAGTTCAGAGAGATCATGAACAACCCGGACATCAGGACGGTCCTGGAGACGTCGGAGCGCGGATGAACTTGTACCTGACTTTCTGCTGGCAGGATGTGGTTGGCAGCACAAGAGCTGCCAGTTCGAGATCCAGACGTTCTGTGGAGGCTGCTTGACGATGGAGACGCAGAATTAACTGCTGCAGCTCGGGTCTGCAAACCAGCTTCTCGCAGTCGCAGTAGCGGTCAGTAGCGCTGTTTGCTACGTCACCGTGCTTATCTCCAAGGACGAGTTGGTCGCAGGAGTCGACAGGCTGAAGGGCACTGCCAAAGGCATTGACCTTGCTGCTTTTATGATGGAGACGCGTGCCTGGGCTGCCTGGGACCTTTCGGAGCCAAGCAAGCCCCTCGTGGCTCTGCCTTCTGCCTGCTCTCAAGGTGAGTTTCAGATAAAGATCTGCGAGAAACTTGGGATTGAGATGGAAAAGGAAGAGGAAGAGGAGGACGACGATGATTGAGCTGCCTGAAGGTGGCTCTTTGCGTTGCAATGTGCCGACTGCACTTGTCATTCCTGCAGTGGTTGTTCTCCGCCCCTACGCGGACCAACGCCAGACAAGTATGATGAAGGAAATTCAGTAGCTTGCAATTGCAACTGCTGAGAGAGAGAGAGAGAGAGAGAGATATATATATATATATATGCATACATACATACATACATACATACATACATAACCCAGCTTCCATGGGGGAAGACGATCAGGCTGGATGGAAGGCTTGCAGCTCCCTTCTTCCCTTCAACTAACTTGAATCTGACGTTCTTCCTCCCAACTCCATCAGCGCGCCATAGGGGGCTTGAAAGTCCCGACTCGTGCAGGCACATCGACATGAAACTGGCAAAGCCGCTGTCATTCGATGAAAAGAGCGGCCGATGCTTCGAAGCTCCCAGAAGTGGCCTGCGTGTTGGTTTCAGTTTGGATCTGCAAAGGTTGGTAAACAATCCTACGAACCCTCCTCCCACGTGTACCTCAAGTTGTGGTTGTCGATGCCAGCACGGCGCAAATTATCTGTGCTCATGCATGTGACGTGTGTCATCGACCGCAGCTTTGTAGAATTCGTGCAGCATGCATAGCTGCTTCTGTCCCGCAGCATGGGAGGCCGGGTGAAGCTCGGTTCGTTTGCCGGATCAATGCAAAGGGCGTTGCTGCCAACCTTGCTGCCAACCCTTTCAAAGACCTGCCCTTTTGCATGACAACTCGGATGCAGGTTTTGTGTGTTTGGAGTGCATACTACTTGTAACAATGTCATCACAGGCAACTCTCCACCGTCGCCGGCTGCCCCAGCAACTTGGTACAAGCATCGAACAGCACCTGATCCACAGCAGAATCTCCAACAGGGGCTTGAACATGCAAGTGCCTGCAACGGCTTGGAAGTGAGGGTCCTGGATTCCTGGATCTTGCCTACAGCGCTTATGCGAGCTGCGTGTGTGATCATGCGCTCCCCGAGTCGCCTCTTCGAAATGCAGCTTCATCCACAGCCTGGTGTGATGCCACAGGCCTTGAGATGCCTTGAGTGCTCGTAGGCCGGCCTGTGGGCTTGGACGGATGAGTGTCCTTTAGCTGCAAGTTGGACCCCCTGTCGGTGCGGCCATCGTGGCCCCGTTTGCGGGCAATGCCTGTCCCGTCGTAAGTTGAGAGCCGTACTGCAAGCTTTCTGGTCAGATCGGCGGGGAGTGCGAAGAGAGTGCCGATGCAGGTCAACCTCCTCCAAATGACATTCCAAGCCTGGTGCCACAGTGTCGGAACTCGCATGAGACCGTATTTCCACCCTTGAGAGTTAGATGCTGGCTGCTCTTTGCCGAGAGTCTGAGATGCTTGTAGCACAGGCGCTGAACACCGAGGTTGGCTCCGGGAAGCTCTCCACGTGGCCCGTGCCACCATGGTGGAGGCATAGGGCATAGGGGCTGCCCTGAAGAGCCTGCAAAGACGAGGGCTTGAGGCTGATGCCCCAAAGACGTCTGTCTGGGTGGCAGGCTGTCGAGAGGCAGCACGACATCATACTGCAGGAGATCGCCCTCAAGCTGGAGGCTCGTGACATATGTGACATGCTTGGTGGCCTGACCATTGCTGCCCTTCAGTACTGATGATCCTGCTTACCATGTTACGATGATAACTACAGCAGTGGCCGCCTCCATGATGAGTTGCTCGGTTCAGCTTCCAGCGAGGACTCCGCAACAAGAACACACTTGCCGCTTCCTGGCCAACCTGCTGCGCCCGCTCGAAGCATCTCGTCACGCATATATGTTGTCGTATACATATATCTAACCTAACATGGGGTAGTCTTCTTCACTCTAGTACAACAGTCTGCCTCATACTGTACCATTGTATACTACACCGAATCATGTTGAATCGCAGCTTTGTGCTACTAGTGCCTGATATTCTGTTTAACATGGTAATACCTAGTCGCTAGCATGGTGCTGAATCACTATGCTCGATACCGTGTACTACTTGTACCTTCGTGCAATGCGCGATACGGCCTGATGGTAAGCTCTATTGTCACCGCTGCACTTGCTGTGGTGTATGTTCGACTTGTTGGTCTAGCGAGTCTAGTGGTGGTCTATACGATGCGATGTACTGTTTGTTCGTGTCTGCACGAAGACAAAGCTTGTTCAATGCATCTACGTGTTACAATCCTCCTTGCCCATGGGCACTCGCGTTGTCATCGTGGTGCATACACCGCATACAGTCCTCTTGCTCTTGCTCTGTCGGGCACTGCACCATTCCATGTCGACGCCGAAATGCCAAGGCCAGAGTGGTGACCAGACTCTCTACAGTGCTCAGCTCTCAGCATTTTGAACCGAGTGTGCTTGTGAGCCCGAACTCTTGCTGCTCGCGGCTCGCAGCATTCGGGCATATTCGGTCTCAATTTCGTCGATAACCACGGCTCAAGCCCGCAACTTCGATCATTCTGTCGACATGGTTTGCAAAAGCTTACGAAGTTTTGCAGCCCCGACTTGCCGTGTTCTGAATTTCTTATGTCGTCGCTTGAGGTAGGTCTCTGTGTCTCTGTCTGCGAGTATTCACTTCAGGAAGTGTACTGTTATCGTAGTACCTAAGTGGGACTTATTTATGACTGGGCTTAAAACACTACGCTTACCACAGCCACTCTGTTTGGAGAAAGCCGCAGCTTGTCGTTGTGCCGTGTCAGGGAAAGTGAGAGCTATTTTGACCAACCTGAGCCAGGCCCGGGCACCGAAGCGTGAAAATAGCCCAGGTATGAAATTTGGAACTTCAGGATCTATGGCTTCTCTAGAGCGGAGAACTCCCTAGCCCTGTCCAATCACATGGAGCCTTCATCTTTGAAGTGGCGCCGAGGCCAAGGACTCTGCCGAAGGATATCTCCCCAGGCTGGCAGCACATGCAACCTTCGGAAGCCACACTTATTTGAGGGAGTTGTAACTCCAACGAAAGGCAATGAAAGATAGTGGCGTTTTGCAAAGTGTGTTGCGCAGGACGCTGTCCGAAGCGAACAACAGGCCCCAGATGTCTCAGAACTCCGAGACATTGCTGAACTGGTGTACACGGGCCTTTGTGTTATATTGGCAAGGGCCCAGTAGGACCTCCGCCTATATCTGTTCATGAGCATATGAAATCCATTGTCGCGTGATTCTTCTTGACATGCGAAGGCAAAAACTCCTTTCCGATTATTCTTGGAGATTTGAACTGCAAAAATGACTGGGAAGACACTGTGGGGTGGGTAGCTGTCTAGGACTTTATCCTTGCATTGCTCCAGCGACTCGTCATGGGTGCCGAGGACAGGGCAATGAAGGGGACCTCAACAACCAAGAACTCCGCCTTCATAGCAGCGATACAGAGACGCGGCTTGGATGCCGGTCGCAGATTTCAGCAGCCGACATCTTGTTGCATTCGAGGCGGTGGCCGGCCCAGCAAGTTGTCTGAAATTCTCGCGCGGCCGGCTTGGCACCCAGGACCGAGGTCCAACGTTTGCTTTTTTCACTCGGGGCTGGGGAGGTGCCTGGTACAAAGGAGGAGTTTAGCGGCTGAGACGAATCGAAGCGTCATGCACGAGCTTTGCGTTGCACCGCCACACCGTGTGGCAGAGGACGTTGGGTGTCCAGTACACAGTTTGATGTTTTTTTTTGCCTCCTGATTCTGCTCAATACCTTGGTGTGCTTTGGCTGCAGCAACGTACTATGAACATGGAGAGCTGTCGCAGCAGTAGCTGACGTCCAAATGCTGGGGGCATGCGCTCAAGGATGGGCCTCGAGTTGCAGTATGATGGGATGCAGAGAGGCTACGAGCTTGGTTATCCAAGTTTTAACTCGCCTGCAAGTGCCTTGGATGAATATCCCTTGAGGGCGGAGGAGCAGCGACCAGTACTACATCGCAGAAGAATTAGGATAATGCTTGATGCTTGATGGGCTGAAAAGAGTTGGCTGACTGGCCATGATTGGCCCAAGGCGAATTGTGGCCTCACGCAGAAGCAGCTTTCGCGGCTCTCGAGACCCGCTTGAAAGTTGAGCTTCTCTCGCTACGCAGTCAAGCTGTGTACGGAATTACAGCTTCGCAGCGTCCAGCGCAAACTGCGGAGTCCTTGCATCGATCCTCACTTGCTTTGTGTTCTTGAGCAGCCGCTGTCCAAGGATGTGATGTTCGGCATTGCTTACCTTATTGAAATCTTGGTTCGGATTGCTGGAACCAGGAAGTCTTTCTTCCGCGATGCTACCAACTGGTTTGACACCTCACTGGTTATGCTCTGGTTGGCAGATCTTTTCCTAAGCCAGCACATGCCTCTGGATTCTGGCATGGTCAGAAGCTTGGTCAACTTTTTCAGCAAGCTCCAGCATGCATGGGATACTCCGTTGAAGGTAAACATTCGTGAAGGCCTCAGTGAGGATCTGTAGAGATTTTCCTCCGTGTGAAGAGATCCGAGTGAGCAGCTTAGGATCATTGCGATTGGCGAGGGTTCTTCGCCTTGTCAGACTTATGAGAACGATGCAAGGTTTCGATGCCTTGACTCCCCGCTGCATTTCGGAAGGAGCATGTTGTCAAGATGTTGCAGAAGGTATCTCAGCGGCTTGCAAGCGTGGACCTCGGTAGCGCACCTGAGGTACATCATGACAACTGCTATGTATGGGAGCTTGGTCGTGTTATTTTGGTCGTTCATGTGCCCCTGAGGCAAACAGCATAACAAACTCAGCATGGTGAAAGCCTTGCGCTTATGCATCGTTTTCAGGCTCCTCCTGCTCGTTCAGACGACGATTGCTTTTTGCTTGACCCAGATTCTGGGAGGCTTCTTTCATGCTGTCGATGTGCCTGCATCTTGTCTAGCACTAAGCGCACGGTTTGCATGCTGTGAATGCTGGCCAAGTCGCACAAGTTGAATGTGCGAGGTTTCGCAGAAGATAGAGATCTTTCAGTACTTCGGTACTGCATCTCGAGCTATGTTCACCATGTTCGAGCTTACCTTAGCGCCCCGCAGCTGCGTCAGAATGGCCTCTTCGGGCTTGTACAGAAGTCGCAGAGGACACTACAACAAGGTTTGAGGGTACGGCATTATGGTTGTTACTTCCCCTCCGTTGAACGATCGCGTCAGCTTCAGCACGTTGCCGACTCAGACGCATTGAAAGCCAGATAAGGAACTGGACGATTGTTGGACGAAGCCTGCAAGAGAACGTGTCTGCACCTTGGACGGTTCGGCTCATGGCATCAATCACCATTTTGAACACGTTCAAGATCTGATTCAAGATCATATATGCACAGTACATGCTGCTGATGCAATTGTTTGTCATTGTTCCTGCATCCCCCCCCAAGCGAGCCATCATGCCCTGCTCCAGCAGGGTGTTTCAGCACTATGCGTGACTCCATGGTGCATGTCGAAAATTAATTCAAGCATAAGCTGAAACTGGCTGATGCCCTCTGCCCTGAGGCCTCCCCTGAATAGTATCATGTCTGTGTTTGAGATGCCATGGTCTCACCCCAACCTCTTATGTGCATGTGCTTGCAGTCTACCTCTTGTTTGGACGTAGGCGATTGCGGTCGAGAGAGAGAGAGAGAGATCTGCCAATCGTGAGTTTGTGTGCCGGACCTTTCAGAAAGAAGCCGTGCAAGGAATACTTTGCGATCTTCAACGTCGCGTACAAGTTGGTCGTTGGGTTTGCTGCCGTCGGCATTATCAACGCAGTGTTTATGCAGGAGACGTTCAAAGTGGCCTCATCCGACGACAATGTCATGATGCGGCAGAAGGATTTGGGCAATGCTTCGCTTCTCGTTTCTGATGCAACAATGCAGATCTTGGCCATGCGCACAAAGCGGTGAAACTCACTTGTTGAATGGCGGCAGGAGCGAGATTTGCGACTGCACACAAAGAAGATGAAGACTCTGTTCGAGGCAGCTGATGAGTCTGGTGATGGAGTCATTGCAGCTTGGCTTCGTCAGTAGGGTCATTGAGAGGGTGAGCAAGGGTCATACCGATCAGATCTGCCCAAGGACCTTGGCGAGTTTAGAAAGATTTTCGAGCTGGAAGAGATCAGGACGTGCCTTCCAAGGGCTACACCTCTGCCTTTGCCTTCAAATCACTGGCATGCAGTACGCTGGCCGGTAGGCTTCTTTCGACCTGAGAGACAACAGCTCAGCCTATCGCCCAAGTGGCGAAGCAGTGCAAAAAACATATTTGCTGGCAGTTCGAACATGTGATCCCAAATCACGAAAGCTAGCTCTGTGGAGCTTGCGGGAGTTGTCGTTTACCATTCAAATAGGTAAGAGAGATCTAGGTCAAAAAGCGTACGCAGAACGTTATCTGGTCCGTTTTCAATAGTCAAAGGGGGGGAGGCGGCCGGGGAGGCCCCCCCTCGCGCCACCACGGCAATGATTAATGATTGTTTTTGGGCGACTAAGGATAGGGCCCCCCCTCACCGAGGTCCCTGCAACATTGAACAAGGTGGGGGGGGGGGGGCCTAGTAGTAGTAGTAGTAGTAGTAGTAGTAGTAGTAGTTGTAGTAGTAGTAGTAGTAGTAGTAGTCGTGGTGGTGGTGGTGGCGGCAGTAGCAGCAGTAGTAGTAGTTTTAGTAGTAGTAGTAGTAGTAGTACTAAGACTACTGCTCCTACTACTACTACTACTACTACTACTGCTACTGCTACTGCTACTGCTACTGCTACTGCTACTGCTACTGCTACTGCTACTGCTACTGCTACTGCTACTACTACTACTATACTACTACTACTACTACTACTTCTACTTCAGTAAGCCCGCAAAAAAACCGCGAGTGAGGATGAAGGACGGGATGACTTAAACAACCAACATGAAGCCCGTGATGAATACAAATGTTCTTGTCGTCGTCGTCGGATGGTGATTGAGGTGGACACTTGCATTGGTGGTGATGCTGATGACCGTGAGAGTGAGAGTGATGAAGAGAAGGTATGACACTGTGGAAAACGCTGCCTGCCAACTTCATTTGTAACCACGCTTTGCCTGCCTGCCTTGCTTTGCCTCGTGCCCTGCTTGAAACCTTGACACCTTGTTTCACTTGCACTGTCTTTCTGCATGCCTTGCACTCACATCCTGATTGTCTCTCACCTTTGCTTCTCGCTCGTCCGCATCTTGTCCTGTCCGTCTTGGGTGGTTGTGTTCCTACTGACAAGACACGCGACATATGGACCCCTCGTGAGAGCACACCTAACAGCTTCGCCAACTTTGTGTAGCCCGACGTTACTGCTGTAGCAGATTGCCATGGATTCCGAGTGATCTGAGACAAGTGGTGCCCGACTGGAAGGCGTCTGCGTGAGCGGTGGAAGTCTGCCGGCAGACATGGGCATGGGAATTTTCGCAGTGCCCAGGGCGCCACACCTGCGACCCTTCGGGCCTCTGTATGCCCAGGAGGTCCAACAGACCCTCGACAGGTTGCCGCAGCCCTCGGCATATTTTCTTGCGGCGCTCTTGTACAATTTCCTGCGGCAGATGAGGAGAGCCTGGGCATGGCACTACACAATATCCTTCGAGATGGGATTCTATTCTGAGAGCTTGGAAAGAGTCACCCTGCCGCTCCGGACACAACGACCCTGTGAAGCAAGTTTCTGGCAAGTTGATCTGGAATATGTCAGGGAGAAGATTCAGGACTGGGAAGTCCGCATAGACATGGGACAAGAGTGCATCACGTGGCAACAGAACCGGGTGCACCTGCCTTGCTGGGAGATCTTACTACATCCTGCGAGGATCAGTGGACTGTATGGTTGATTTTGGGTGGATTCTCTTTCAAACGGCTGCCACATGCCGCGAATGGGAGTCAGAATAACCTGCAGGCAAATTGTGCACTTGTCGTCACATGGCGATGCCTCATGTGGCAGCTGACAATGCGGGTTTATCGCACTGCCATGAACGCCGTGAGACTGTGGTGAGACTTCAGGCCTGCATGACGGATGTGATTTCGTACCAGTACATGCTGAAATGAATTTTGTGCATGATGACATCGTGCACCGGAACCTAAGTACTGGTCATTGCAAAAAACATCTGCACTCGCCTTTTCTGCCTGGAGCTCGACCTGTGAACTGTGAACTGTGTACAGCCACCTTGAGCACTGCTAACTAACTGCAAGTAGATTAGCCCTGATTTGTGCTGCCACTTTGAACCTTGCAGGACTGTTTGATAGCCTTTGAGTCATAGTAATGTTAGATAAGACCAGTGCCCTGAACGATCGCAGAGGTGCCAGGTTTGGGCGTTCTTACATGGTGTGTTTCAGGTGTTGCACAGTATGTGGTCGTCATTAGTATGCACTTTTGCGGTTCGGGGCCTCGTTTGTATAGATGTTGAAGTTGTGACAAATTTGTCGTGGGGCGGTGCCGTGAGTGGTGGCAGATGCGCTTGGTTACGGTTCAGCTGTGGTGAGCCTTCAAAGGGGTTTTTAGGATGCTTGGGTGTTGCTTTGCAGGACGTGCTGCTGCCAACAAGCCCTGTACAGCTATAGGAGCCCCTGGGGTGCCAAAAGAGTGCAACCAGCAAAACAGCCCAAAGGAAGTGACAGGTGTGAGGAGATTGTGTGTGTGTGTGTAGGTTTTGTGTTGGTGGGTAGTTTTGTGCTTTTGCACACCTGTCATAGTGGCGATTGGAGCCCATTGTTCCAAGGATATGCTCGAAGGACTGTCGCGTAGCCGAGCGTATGCGCTTTTCCACAGGAGGCGGTGAGTCGGGTCTGGTGTTCTTTAGAATTGGCTATTTCGTTTGGTTATCTTTTGCTTGTGGTTTCGTCGCCTCCTTGTCTACCTCGTGGTCGTTGTGGCCCCGCAGTGCTGACTCAGTCGTGCCAAGTGGGTGACAAAACTACTACTACTACTACTACTACTACTAAACTACTACGAGGGCGATTTCATTCCTACTATACTAAACCACTACGAAAACCCAAAGAGCCGAACTCAATGCCGATGTTTTCGTCTATTGGAAAAACACGGAAAATCTGCGGTGCAGCGTCCATTAGTAGCGCTGGCACTGGATGCAGTGCCTGTGTAGGTTTATGTGACGGCGTCCCCGTTTGGGGATGCCGTGCCAAACACGTTGTTTGTGGCCCCAAGCTGGTTTTCTTGGAACACGTATTAGCTTATATCGGCCCCAATCCCTAAAACCCATTGAACCCTTAAACCCTGAAATTTACGTAGAGGCCCCAAGCGGGTTTTCTTGGAACACGTGTTAGCTTATATCAGGCCCCATGCAATCCCTAAAAACCCACTGAACCCTTAAACCCTGCAACCCTAGAAACCTCAACCTGTATATAGATGTGTACACATGGAGGAAGTCCGAAGTCTGCTGTGGTCGAGAGGTTTTGGCATCTTCGGGTTTGTTTTTTGTTTTGGTACGAAAATAGAGATATATGGGATCAGGATCATTGTGTGCGTGAAAGAGTTCAAGGGGGTATGTTTCCGTGTGTTTCCTGTGTTGGGATTTAGAATATAATTTAGATTGTGGAACTGTGGAGTACAGCTGGGCACCTCCTTTTGTGTGTAGGTGGCTTCCTTCTAGCATTGAAGTCGCAGCAAACAAGCAGCCAAGTTGAGATCATTTGCGCAGTGGCAGAAGCAACGCATCATCAAATCCATTAGGAAACCACTGCATAATATCCTGTACCAGGAGCAATTATCACACAAAGCAACCCGGGAACACAATGTGACGACACATTTTAAAAAAAACACCAATGCGACGGCACATTGGGGAAAAAAGATAGCCCCCATAGGTTTCCACATTGAAAAAAACAATGTGACGACACATTGGGTGATTAGCCCCCAATGTGCCGGCACATTGGGAAAAAAACTAATAATTTGCACATAAAAAAATCCCCAATGTGCCGGCACATTGGGCGCCTAAGTCCTGGGATTGCATATCACAAACAAACTCGGCCCACACAGGACAACCGTGGTCTCACAAACTGTGAAATCTCAGCAGCACCTCAGCGAATCCGTTGGCAAAGGGGTGTAAGCGATCATGTAAGAGAAGCAACTTTCCTATCCATGAACAAAGGAACACAGTGCAACGTCTCTGCACATTTCGCGGAAAAAAAGAAAAGAACAACATGTGCATGCACATTGGAGCCAACACGATTTGCAGCAGTGAACTCATATCCGAGCTCTGTTGCAAAACAAATAAGCAATTACCACGCAGAGTTGTAAACTCGCGTGGCACCATCTGCAGGCTATTTGCCGCGGATGGTTCCCAGCTTTTGAGCAGTCCCTCAGTTCGTGTGCCCGCCCCTCCACCCGACATGTTCCAGCCGACGACGCCGCCGGAGTTGCTGCACCAGCCCCGAACGCCACCAACCAGTGGCACGGCGGTTCTGTACATGTGCTTCCGCTATGAGAAGCAGAACAGGCTGAGGTCATCGGTGTGTTAGGTTTTTCTTACTTTTGTTAATTTATTGGGTGTTCGGCCTAGGGTTGTTCCAGCATCGCCTTTCTAGGTTTTTTCCTAGGGTTAACGGTTTAGGGTATAGGGTGGTTTCGGGTTTTGCCCTGCAGGCTCCGCTTCGACTTTGCGGCGACTGGGCGGTGCTGCTTCACGTTGGTGTTGACGAAGGCCAACGAGGTGACTATGAGAGACATCATGAAGATCCTGTACCGGGAGAACACGGAGGTAGATGTCACGGCGGCGATTGCGGTGCTGGGAAGCCGCTCCAGCAGGGTGCTTTCTGCTGAGATCAGCCGTTTTGTGTGGCGCCCCCGCACCATATGGTGCCCCCCCGCCCCTTCTTACCAGAAGGTGCCATCAGAACAGATTAAGTTTGCATGCCGGTGCAGTTGCCGCTTCAGTTTCAGAGCCGCAGCCGACAAGCGCGTGGAAGCGTTGCAGCGTGCGCAGCTAACAGGCTGGGTTCGAGACCAAGCTCATCAGGAAAGCTTTAGGAAGCTAGCTTAATGGAACAAGTATTGATTTGTGTCGCTGTGCAGCTTTGCGCGAGCCCGCCTCGCGCTGAAAGCTCAGGCAAGCAAGGGCTTGGTAACCTCCCCCTTTCGCCACAAGACAGATTAGATTTCAATGATGGCGCAGGTGCCACGTCACTGTAAGAGCTGCAGCTGACAAGCGCGTGGAAGCTAGGTTCGAGACCACACCCATCAGGGAAGCTTCAACAAGCGAACTTCTGCAACAAATATCTGCAACATTGCAAACAAGCCTGCGTGGATTGCCTGAGTTCTGCTGCCGCGCCGTGTTTTCCGGAACCCCGAAGCTATCAAACACTTGACACCGCAGACTAACATAACCAGCAAATCACAGCAGTCTTCAAGGTCGAGATGTCTTTGGTTTTAATGCGACAGCCCTAAACGGAAATACAAAATCAGCATACGTACTACGCAAAAAAATAGCACTAGAATCTGCAATGCCTTGCAAATATACACACATCCCATACAAAACACCCAAAATCATGAAATACTGAATACCATAATAACCGACACAACAAAACCAAAAAATCCCGGACTAATCCTAGGGACCTCCAGACCCTTATCATAAATCAGAAATATAAAGTCCTCGAGACTTGAGATGCCAGCCTAGCAAACCGGCAAGCACGAAATAACCTACAATTTAGTCCTAAAAATGGCGTACTTTCCTGCCTGTAGTCAAACCCACAGAGAGCATGTAAACAAACTTACATTCTTACTACCCAACAAACCTCGCGAGACATCCCCTGCATACCTTGACCACCCACAATCAGCTAAGCTTCCGCATAGGTGTTGCCACCCCAGCAATTGCAGCGAAAAAGCTGCAACCTGCTCTTTGCAATCGTTTGCTCTAGCTTTCGTAGCCCAGTTCTCAAGTCTACTTCAATCAGAGAGGCAGGAGAACGGTCGGAGAACGCTGGCAGAAAACTAAATTCAAAGGCCGCTCAGTATTCAATACCACCGGGCCGTGACCCTTGGTTTTGCCAGATAAAACTCGCGAGAAGGTCGCATCTCTTAGATCGGGGAGTGTGCCCGGGTGCCATGTACCCATCCAGCCAGAACCCACCCGAACGCGTTTGGAATCAGCTGGAGTCAGAGCTTTCAAGAAACAGGTTCAGTCTTGGCAAAGTCTGGCCACGAAGACCGCCTTCCACATGTTAGTTACACGTAAGGCTCCCATTTAAGTGAACACCAAGCAGACAAAATAGTCAAAATTATTAAGCAATGCCCGCATGAAAGTTCAAGCCAGGTCCGCTACTGCCCAGGTAGATAAGAGGAGCCCGCAAGACAAAAACGCTTCTGCCCGGAAGGACCTGGCTGTCTGCTCAAGACCTACCGGTTTCGAATCCAGACCTCCTCTTCAAACTTTTGGACGACGGTGATGGCGGGCTAACAGCCGATTCTGTGGCTGAGAATGTTGATAGTGTCGATTGTGGGATTTGAATTGGCCTTAGCTCAGGAGGAGTTGGTGAAGGGCGTCGATCGCCTGAAGGGCTCCGCCAAGGGTTCCTTGGACTTGAGCATGCGCAAACACGCTCGCAAGCACATGATGCAACAGGGTGGTTTCGTGGAGACGTCACAGCCTTTCTGACACTGAGGGATGGACTTGGAAGCCTTTGTCATGGAACACCGTGCCTTGTACTGACGCATGCTTCGAAACGGACTCTTCGGTCTGAGGTGCAAAAGTGGAATGTGGATGAACATGTTATTCGCTTCGTCGGGAATTTCCACTCACAATGCAGGTTTCAAGCAGTGCATGAATGAACTGGGTTTATTTGATGTCTCTGCTTCGGACGGTCATCGCCTCCATTGGCCTCGGTGAGCTTACAGTTTCCTTCGCCACCCTTTCCGTTCGGCTGCTTCTCAGGTGCCTTCGCGAGGGAGGTTTTTTCAAGGCTTGATATGTCTGAAAGGGGTCGTGGCATCGCAGATGCAGCGAGTGCACCAATTTGAGACCTGAAAGCTCCAGATGATCCAGGCATCAAGTTTTCAGTTGTCTACGAGCCAGCAGAGAAGAGTGGAAGTTCACTGGCTGGCATGATGGTCTTGTTTCTGGAATGCCACTGGCGTTGCTAGTGCAGCTGGTGAATGCTTCTTGCGTTTACCAACTTACGAGTAATTCCATAGAGCAGACATTTTCTGTTCCATTGTGCAACAAGTGAGTCCACTCTCTGGCTTTTGCAGAAGAGGCTGCAGGCTGTTTTTTCCTTGCATGTGTGTTTAATAAATCCATGGGGCAAGAACCAGCACGTGGCCATATCCATCTCGTGAATTCAAGCCACGGTGCTGCGCTCTGCAGAATTCAACAGCCACAAGGCTTTGCATGTCGCCTGTCAGCTGTTTTGTTTGCGATCTCTGAAGGAGTTTCTGCAGACCGCCGCCAACTTCCAAATCCCAGACAACGATGGGATCGGTCGTCCAAAAAGGCTGTGCTACAGAGTGTTTACGATCTGGGATGTCGTGTCGCGAATATGTCGCATAGATACGGAAATTCGGATTTGCGCAACAAATTTATCCCGAAATATATTCATTCTGTCATATAGATTCAAAGATTATATATTGACGATTCCGACCTTCGGCAGGGATCTGGTATTCAAATCCTATATTTACCCGGCTTCAACCACTCAACCGAAAACAAAAATTATTCTCTAATAAAGCGGTGTCGTGCTGGTCGCCTCCGTTTTTTGTGCACGCCCCTGGCCCCTGTAACCTCGTCCTTTGGCGCGTTTCCTTTTGAAAGCCTCTTGCGTGCCTGTCTCGCGGTAGTAAAAATTCGGAAATTTTAGTACCGGGAGCGCTTCTCTCCCGGTACTAAAATTTCCGAAGTTTTGGTAGCTTTAGGAAACCTCGTTCGGAAATGTTGGTAGCTTGAGGGGGACAAGCTCCGGGAATGAAATTTCCGAAATTTTCGGTAGGCATGCTCGCGGTAATATAATTTCCGAAACCTTGGTACCTGGAGCATGTCCCAAAAAAGAGGCTCTGAAGAGAAAACGTATCCGATTCGAAAGTATGCAAGAGGCTTGCAAGAGGAAGCGCATCAGGATTTGAGTGCCGAAATTTCAGTGCCGCGAGACAGGCACGCAAGACACTTTCAACAGGAAACGCATCAGGATCTTGGTAGCACGAGCTCCGGTGCCGCTCTCTGTCTGAATGCAGGTGTCGATGTATGTCTCTTATGTGTCTATGCGTCTTTCTCCGTGTTTGCTTTTGGCAAGCAGGAGCCTGTTTTAGCTGTGAGATCAAAAAAGCATGGACAGCCACTGCGCCATTGGATTCAAAGCAAAGGTTCTGTCGTGTCGCAGTTTTCCAGCTCCGGTTTCATCGTTGCAAGCACGAGTCTGTGTTTGTCTGTTTGTCCGTCCGTCCGTCTGTCTGTCTGTCTGCCTGTCTGTCTGTCTGACTGTCTGTGTATCTGTCTGACCGTGTGTCTGTCCGTCTCTGTGTTTGTCTGTCTGTGTGTCTGTCTGTCTGTGTCCGTCTGTTTGTGTCTGTCTCTGTCTGTGTGTCTGTCTGTTTGTGTCTGTCTCTGTGTGTCTGTCTGTATGTCTGTCTGTCTGTCTCTCTCTGTCTGTCTCTGTCAACCTCTGTCTGTCTCTGTTGTCTCTGTCTGTCTGTCTCTGTCAGCCTCTGTCTGTCTCTGTCTGTCTCTGTCTGTCTCTGTTGTCTCTGTCTGTCTGTTTGTCTTTGTTTGTGTCTCTCTGTCTGTGTGTGATTGTGTGTATGTGTGTGTGTGTGTATGTGTCTGCTTGGTATGAGAATTTGTTTATATCTATATCTGCTTATGTCTATGTGTGTCTCGTTGCTTGCATGGGCTTGTGTATGCTGAAGAGGTGTCTGTGCGTGTGTGTGTGTTTGTGCGTCTGGATTGTCTGTCTGTCTGTTTGTCTGTCTATTTGTCTCTGTTTGTTGGTCTGTCTGTCTGGATCTATTTATTTGGTAGCATTTATTTGTATTATTTATTTATATCTAGCTCTGTTTATTTGGCTGCTTTTCTCTATTATTTCTATTTTTGTATATTCTGGATTTGAATTTAGATGAGATTGTCCGTTAAAAAGATTTGCATATTAATTTCGCGTACATAATAATAACATCTTAATAATATTACTATGATATTATTTCTCTTTGATTTTCATTATCTCTCATTTTTTTTTAGAATTATTTATATTTTAAATGAAATTCTTTAAAGAGTATACCGGCGAAAAGCGATATTATGAAGAAGATTAGAATACATTAAGAAAGAATACGAAAAATGGTTGGAGATTATTTTTCTGGGTACGTCGTTATGTGGACTATATTTAAATTTTAATAAGGTATAAGAATATAGACGAGGCCGTTTTGTCGTCTTCGTTATCGTGATTTTAATCGAAATAATTCTGATCTGACCTAGAAATGCCTCGATTTATTTTTTATAATACGACAGCCTAGAAGTTAAGAGGACCTTTCGTAAGAATTTAAAAGAGATTAGAAATATTATACTTGCTATTGATATCTATATATCTTTCTTAAATAATGGCTTCTCCAGAAGAGAAGACTATAATGAAAATGACTAGAAGAAATTAGAATTATAACCCGTCGTGGAGATTATTATGACTTGTAACTTAAATAGAGATCTTAGAACAAAAGAAATATCGCACCGTATTGATCGTTACGATTCATATCCCAAATCTTCTTCGTAATTGTGAAACGGACCTCATCAAAAAATTAGAAGAGATTGCCCCGCCGCGTGCGCCGTTTCAGCAGATTCCTAGAAAAAATTAGAAACTGACGATACCAACGAGCGGCATACAAGACGCGCTACACGAGGCGATGAAAATATCGAGAAAAATTTCAAGATATAGACGAGAATTCGCGCGAGAATATATAAGAATATCGAAATAAAGATACCGATCCTCTTTGTGAATGCGCTTACAGTTAATATCTAATATTCTTATATTGAAATAAATATAAAAATTTAATTATTCAAATATTATTTATATATTTTAATATGTATTTTGCCATTAGTATCATTTTTTAAAATATAAAAATATGCATAATAAATTATTTCGTATTTTTTTTATTTTTTTGTAATAAGTTCAATTATACCAGCGAAGATCTCAAATAGAATGTATCGAATCAAGTCGATTCAAATTAGAATGTATTGGAATCAAATCTGGCTTCGCAGCAGATGCTGCGAAATGAATATATAGGAAGTACGGCAAATATGAAGGAAGTCCTTCCCGTCGCCGCGGCCCACCCATCCGATCCAAGACCACCCATCCGATTTTGGAGCCCAGAAAGAGAACCTGAAGGGAAGGGAGCCCAATGTAAGCCCAGCCCCGTCGCCGCGGCCCACCCATCCGATCCAGAAATGGAACCTGAAGGGAGTCCAAACGACCCAACACCCCAGAAAGGAAATATAAAGGGAGCCCAATGGGAGCGCCGCCCACCCATCCCCAGACAAGAAAGGAGTCCAAAAAGGAAACATGAAAGGAGCCCATTAATGAAGGGAGCCGCCACGGAGCCCAGAAAGGAAACATAAAAGGAGCCCAAAGAAACGGGAAGGGAGAACAAAACGGAACCATGAAGGGAGCCCATTATATAGGGAGCGAAATGGGAGCCCCTCATCGCCATCGCCCACCCATCCGATCCAGGAAAGAGAACACGCCAAGAGCCCAGAAACATGAAGGCTATCCAATATAAGTCCAGTCCCGTCGCCGCGGCCCACCCATCCAGCCACCGCCACACACCTTTTCCTAAAAAGAGAACCCCAAACCGTACAATTTGGGAAATATGAAGGGAACCCAATAGGAGTCCGATCCAAGAGCCCAAAAAAAAAGAAATATAAAAGGAATCCAACGGGAGCCCAGTTTCTTGGCCACGACTTAACCATCCGATCCAGGAGCCCAGAAAAGAAACCAGAAACGAAGTATGAAGGGAGCCCACTAGGAGCGAACCCAATTTCTTGCATCCGACCCAAGAGCCCAGAAAAGAATAACAAAGAGAGGCCAACGAAAACCCAGCCCCATCATCGTAGCCTACCCATCCGACCCAAGAAAGAAACATAAACAAAACCCAACGGGAGCCCAACCCCATTACCGCGGCCCACTCATCCAGCCACTACGGCCCATTTTATTTCTCAAAAGAGAACCTCAAACCATATCTATTTAGGGAATTATTTTAAAAATTCTCTAATATATGTAAATTTTTCTATATAAAAAAATAAATATTTTTATTCAAATCTAATTTCAATTCAAATTTAAATTCATCTTATTTTTATTAAAAAAATAAAAATATTTAATCAATATAAAAAAAACCTTACAAACATAAATAAAGAAATCGCGAAAATCAAATTTAAATAAAATATATTCTAATTATAAATAATAAATATACATTCTTTATTTAAATATAAAAAAAATTTAAATAATTATTAATATATTTATCAATATCTTTCATAATTTAATAAGGTTTAGAGTCCCGCACGATCAAAGCCTAAATCTCCAAATCATTTAATAATAAACACATAAATTTATAATAATTTTTTTCAAAAATTATTTTTCATTTTTTCGAAATATATTTCTAAAAATATTTTAAAGAGAATATTATTAAAAAAGAGATATAAAAATACTCTAACCCCTATTTTTCACGTAATGTTCGAATTTCGTACACTATTTATTTTTATTTATTTTCAAATATTCTATTTTTATTTATATATTATTTCTCTAAATATATATCAGACATCTTATTAAACCGCCAAAACTTCTAATTTCGCAAACTAATATATCGAACATACTACTAATCCTACAAATTTTAAAAAAACATATCGAGCAATCTTTTAATCTTCCAAATCTTCTATTTAATCAAATTATTTGAGTCAGCTACTTTTTTAATTCTCTAGATTTCCAAATCATTTAATTTTACATATTATATATGTCAATCATTATTAATCTTCCAATCTTCTAATAAAACAATCGGGCAATCTATTAATCTTCCAAATCTCCTAATTTTATAAATTATATTTATCGGTAATTCTATCTATCTTCCAAATCTTCTAATTTTTCAATTTTTTTCCGTATATTCGATTAGTCTTTTAGTTTCGTTATATCTTCGTAAAAATATTGATCTATATATAACAAAATAATGCAAATTAGATAATATAAATAATCGCGACTAAAGTCTTAAATCATATATTAATAAATTTCAAATCAGTAATATATAACAATTTATCGTAGCACCTGGGTTCATGTAAATATACATATATTTACATATATACATTTATATATGTACATTTACATATATACATTATTTTTAGCACTCGCGCTCGACGAGTCAGGCGAGGTGTAGGGGGAACCAGAGTACAGCAAAGGCTGCCGGAGACCAACGATCTCACAGCCACCTATATACATTAATATACATACATTAACATACATACATACATACAGACAGACAGACATACATACATATGTGTCCTTCCTGGGAATCTGCACGTCTAACTGTGGTCTGCCCTTCTCTTTCGCAACACTGGAACAGGAATGAAGCCTCAGAATATTAGCATCAACGTCCTTCTCGCAGCACCTACACACAAACAAACAAACAAACATACATACATACATTTACATACATTTACAT